TCCATTAACGAACACTGTCGCCCCAATGAGCTGGAAAAAAAAAGATAATCATTCACATAATAATATTATTATTTGTATCAATTTGGTTAGAACGATTGAACTTATTGTCCATCTTAAACAGCATACCCTTTGTAACATCTCATATTTGAATACAACATAAGAAAGCGTTGTAACCTATAGTTTATTAAATACCCCTGTAATAATGACTGTAATGAAGAAAATACCTATAGTTTGCGTCAATGTACCCTTAACTTTATTTTTATTTTTATCTTCGTGGGGTTGTTACTTTTGGTAAGAATTGATGATTTTCTTTTACTCAAACAGATATTCTGACAGTTTATACGACCAAGTTTAAATGGTTGTAAGCATATCAATAGCAGACAGCCAATAATACACAACGATATGTGTTTGCTCAATTTGTTTAAAAAAATTATCCGTAAATTTACAGCAGCCGTGTATTACATGATATTATAAACGTCTTGGTAGACCAATGAAAATTGAGGTTACAAACGTGAATCATTACAAAATATAAAAGGAAATTATTATCAAAACGATACTTACAAACATAATACAGCATAGAAACCCAACTACACTCTTGCTACATTTATACCTCGCCATCTGCAAAACATGAGTTTGAACTGATCTGACACAAGTGATCGAAACCAACTTATCATTAGAAAACAAATATTGAGCACTTTTTAAGTTTAGAGTCCGACTGCCCTGGCTACATAATTATGTACCGGTAATATCAGAAAGATATTCGTTTCAAGCGCTAAATGATAATATTAGACTAGATAAAGTCGTTTCGAGCGCTCCATGACAACATTAGACAAGACATAGTCGTTTCAATCGCTCTATGATAATATTAGACAAGAAAAAGTCGTTTCAAGCGCTTCATGACAACACTAGACAAGACATAGTCGTTTCAATCGCTCTATGATAATATTAGAAAAGATAAAGTAGTTTCAAGCGCTCCATGACACCATTAGACAAGACATAGTCGTTTCAATCGCTCTATGATAATATTAGACAAGATAAAGTCGTTTCAAGCGCTCCATGACAACATTAGACAAGACATAGTCGTTTCAATCGCTCTATGATAATATTAGACAAGAAATAGTCGTTTCAAGCGCTCCAAATATTAAGCACTTATTGCCACGATTTCAAAAAAAACCAATATCATTCATGTTATTACTTTCAGTAACAAGAATAAAAGTTTATTATATTCTAAAATTTACCTTATTGTTTTCTATTTCCTCTCGTGTTTCTATCCGCTTCCATTGACCATACACGGCTTCCTGTTTGTTCCGACAGATTTAATAAATTGTAGTACTGCCAATTCCATGCTATAAATACATGTAGTAGCAATAATCATATACCGTACTGTTAAAAATTATAACTTTTGTTTGCCACAACAAAAGTCACAATTATGTTAAATCAGAGCAGAACGCATCAGATTTCACTTGTATTCTTTTTATGTTTCATTTTTTTAGACATTTCACAACTGATTATTTATTGAGATAATAATATAAGAATACATTTTAATGTTCTTACTTTTAAAAAACCGTACTGGTTTCGTTATATAGATCTTCATGTAGCACCATTTCTGCTGGTAAAAACGCAGAAGATTCATTGAGATTTTTTGACATGACAGGACTGGAAACAATTTATCAAGATTAATATTCCATTTGATGTAGGTCGAGGCTAAAATCTCGTATTCAAAAAATATGATAACAAGATCAACAAGGAAAGGCGGCGTTCAATGAACGCACAGATTCTGATCATTCGCTCACTCCGTTTTCCCAGAATAACTATTTTTACTGTGAAAATTGACCCAAAATTGAAAAACGTTGTGACTAAAATCGGGCTGATAATAGCACAAAAATACGACTTTCAATTTGTTTCTAAGTCTTTGTCTTAATTATCTTTTACATATTTTTCTATCTCATTTGCCCAAGCTGATATATGTAAGAAATTGAAATTTTAAGTTTTTCGGCTTTTGGACCTCAGTGGAGTTCCTTTAACGTAAGTTCATAATCGTCTTTTAGCCTATCACTATTATGGTTCCTTACATTTCATTGTCATTGTCAATAAAGTCTAAAGCAATGATACCTATCATTACCTTTCTAGAACCTCAGTATTTTACAGATAACTGACAACATTTTATTAGTCGCCGGTAGAAACCGGCGACTATATTTGTAATAGTGTACTGGTATTTAAGAAGTAATCACCAGGTACTGAATCGTACGAAAAACCGGTAGGGCCATTTCAACTACATGAATTCCCGATTTCATTTTCATGAATTCACATTTTAAACATCGTGAATTCCCGTTTACAACATACGAAATTCACGAATTTACGATTTCAGCTTCGTGAAATCACGACTTAAACTTCATGAATTCACGATTTCAACTTCGCGAATTCAGGAATTCAACTTCACGAATTCACGATTTCAACTTCACAAATTCACGATTGCAACTTCGTGAAGTATCGTGAATTCATGAAGTTGAAATCGTGAATTCGTGAAGTTGAAATCGTGAATTCGTAAAGTTGAAATCGTGAATTCGTGAAGTTGAAATAGTGAATTCATGAAGTTGAAATGTCCCCACCGGTCTTTCGTAGAATCGATGGAAACGCTTATGCACTTTTTCAATCAAGTTTGGTACACATAGTATAGAGTCAGATGCTATACAATTTTGTAGATTCTAAGAATCAACCAAATAAGCTAAAAACAAATGTTATGTACACAAATGTTGTTGAAGATACTCGTCAATACCTTAGAATTGGTGGGACATATACTCCGGGGCTATCTCCATGCTCCAATAAAACTGTAAACTCCTCATATTACATTTGGCAGTGCCAATGTGAATTGAAATCGATTCAGGTTTTTAATGTTTTGGATTGGACAAAGTTTCTCAGATACTCTGAACAGTGCTTTTAACACATCATACACATACATAAATGCCATATATTGAATAAAAGCATAGTTTTCATCAGATGTTTATTGATAAAACAACAAATAACTTACATATAAACAATACAACAATTTGTACAAAAAAGAATCACAGTCTATAAATATAGTTTGACACATAAGTGGTTGATATTTGCTTTGATTTGATGTAGATTATTTCATATTTATTATTTCACTTTTGATAATACTTAATGTTTTAATTATTACGTTTACATTAGTGATTAAATATTTCGCATTCAAGACGAGCACATCTAAACATTTTCTTTGAAAAAAATATGTACATGTAGATATATATTTACATAAGCGTATCAAGAACAACAACAACAATAATAATAACAAAATGTTTCTGTACAGTTCCTTATTTGATTTTTTTATATCAGTTTGGAAAAAAAGAACATTCCCGCAAATGTTAAAATATGCGTAAATGAATGCAATATAACAATTTTGATAATCAAACTTTATTAAGTTTTGAACTTGTTGTGTGCTACTTTCGAGCCAGAGTAAACAAAGTGATTAAAGCATGAAGTCAAAGTACCCTTTTCTATCTGAAACAATGGTATTTTGTAACTGTATATGTAAACAAAATACTGTTTTTAAATAACAAAATCACGGTAATGTGTAACTGTATAAGTAAAAATACCGTTTTAAATGACGAAGTTTGTACAACAAATATTTACAAAATGTCTGTTATTAGTACTGTTGAAATAAATAATAAATAATTATTTCTTGGTTGAAAGTTAGTTTTACATTCAAACGGTTGTATGGGCTGTTAAGATTGTAACTCTGCCGTCACTTGTTTGCATGGTTTGTTGAATTGTCTTTTAATATTTAAACATTGATTTCCACAGAAAATTTAGAGTTACAGGAGAAAATTTTGCTTTAATAACGTTTTGATTTGTTGCCTTTGTTCTTCAAGACAGCGTCACTGAAAAATACAATCACAAATAATGTAATTATTGTATGGTTATTCTCATAATTTGTACATGATGCGTTACAGCAGTAACTGTTGGACATGGCGGTTAATGTCTTTTATTGTTGCTGGTTATGTGGACCTTTCAAATATGATTGACAACATGTTATTTTGCATTAGTATTTCCAGCCAAATCACAATCAACTTCCAAATATGTAATCAAGGCGGTGCTGGGGGGCATAAGAGATGTTGCGCCTCTAATTTTCTTTTAGTCTTTCAGTAATACCAAAGGCTGATATTTTTAACAAGTTTCTTTTGTTGATCCAAATGTTCCAAATGACACTCCCACTTTCATAATTATTACAGGAACTTTTGGCTAAACATTGAAATTGTAATGTGGTGTTGAAATAGAAACTACAGGCACTGATTTTAAAACTAAGAAGTTTTTAGTATCACACTATCTAATACTCAGTAATTCATGCCAATATGAAAGAAAATTGTACATTAAAACTATGAACACTTACATGCCGATGTAAGGTGGTGGTTGTGCATGTTTTTCACCAGCATTGCTGTAAATATATATCAAGATCAGTAAATGTTTGTATAAATGACAATTTATTAAATATTTAACTTCCAAAACATATACATGTTTTGTATTTTTTCCCTTTTTTTTAATTCATTTTTTATTTATTTTTTATTATTTTTTTCTATTTTTTATATATTTAATTTTCTTTGTAATTTGTTTTGTTATTTGTTTTACTAGTATACATTGATTAATTAGATTAAAGCCAATCAGTCCTATACTTTCCAAACGAAAATTTGCCTCGCCCAATTAACCATGTATATAGTGAGAGCAATGGGTCCCGGGACGTCGGGTTTGTATTGCAGCACCGTTTTTTTCATTGATTTATGATTAACGTTTCATTATACTATGTCGTTTTTAAAGAAAAAGAGTACAGTTTGAAATGATTTTGATGGCTGTGTGACAGGTGCAATTCACGGTAACAAGTATATTCTTTTAAGTACTAATGCTATCAAATGATGATATAAATATTGATAATAGGGATAAATGAAAAAATGAAATAATTCACCAGAAACTCACGCATGTCTGATCCTGTTCTTGGTCTGATCTAACAACATACACGACATAACAATCGCAGCAACCTGACATAGGGAAAAATATAGAATTATTTCATACAAAACTTATACTTTCAATCATGTTATCGAGAGCTGAAACATAACTAAAACGTTTCCACAAAAGAGATAAATGTTTTCAGAGTTTATGAAAACAAATGGTCGGATGCGAAATTTAGCCGGCTAAAATACAAATGCTTTAAACATATTTATTTAAGCTCGATTGCAGAACAAGTTCTTGCAACTTATATTAACCAATTTCGAGTTCGCTTCCTGGAACCAACCGGTACTGGTGTCATATGAAGAAACTTGGTCGTGACCAATGATCCACGGGTTGAGAGGCAGACACCTTAACCACTAGGCAGCCGCTCCCCTTGATACATACAAGAGCCCAGTTCGAACCGGGTGATGCTCCCCGAATATGTTTTTGACACAGGAAGTAACCTCTTATTGTTTTGTAAAAGTTCAAAGTGCAATAATTCCGGAATAAGGCAAGGCAGAGTACCTGTTCTTTACACTGGACTTCTAATAAATGAGATCAGTATCTAGCTACAAAATTTCTTGTCGATGTTATTGTTTCTGAGTTATGTCCCAGACAAAGGTAAAAGTGTAAAAATAATTAAAGCGCAATAACTCCAAAATTTGGCAATGCAGAGTTAGGGTTCTTATGCATTGCACATCTACTATTTGAGATCTGTCTACCTACAAAGTTTCATGTTGATATCTCTTATAATTTTAAGAGTTATGTTCCGGACAAAGTTCAAAGTGTAAAAATGAACAAAGGGCAATTTCTCCAAAATTAGGTAAGACAGAGTAACGATTCTTGTGGACTGCACAGCTACCCATTGAGATCTATCTACCTACAAAGTTTCATGTTGATATCTCTTATAGTTTTAGACAAGATTTTTGTAAAAGGGGAGATAATTAAAAAACGGGGAAAATAGAGTTATGGTTCTTTGACACTGAACTCCGCCTCGATGTCCTCTACCACTGTGTGAAGTTTAAACAAATTTTCATCAAGTTATGTTCCGGACAAAACAGCGGACGAACAGAAGGACAGAAGGACGGACGGACAGACGGACATGGCGGCGACTTAATGCTCTCCCTTCGGGGAGCATAAAAAATGACATTCAGCCATACTGTAAAATTAAACGGTAGCGCTTTTAAAATGGCCATCATATGAATTAGCCATTTTGTCATTGATATTTAAAACCAACCTTGAATAACTATTCACTATTTTTAACGTTTGCATATACTTGTACACGTACACGTATTTAGTATCACGCGTAATTGTATTTGAATTGCTCAGAGCTTCCGACAGTGGAAGTTTGGTAGTCATTCACTCCTTAATTTGACTTGTATCTTCTAATATAATGTGACTTCCAATGTCAATAATTTTGCCGTCTCCGACTTCAAAATTTTGTAACTTAATTTAATTTGTCTATTTTGCATTTGGTGCACATGGGTGGACCATTCTGCATTTCGTGTAATTAGCGTTATTATATTAGCGTTGGCTTATATTCGTATAATTTATGATATGATATAATTACCTCAACCATGAACGCAATGGCACACACGATACAGACGATAAGCAGATCCATTTTAACCTGATCATTGATCACTTCAAAACAGCCCTACAAAAGTAAACATACAAAACAAATGTTAATATTCAACTGTTTAATACTTGGTGTATTTGCATTATTTTGTGAAACTAATGCAAAATTAAATTTATTTGCATGATCCTTTTTAGCTAATGTAAAGTACAGTGTATTTACATGATCTTGTTTTAACTAATGTAAAGTACAGTGTATTTGCATGATCTTGTTTGGTGTATGAAGTATGTATCAAATATTATTGTACGCACATAGTGATATCTACACGTATACTGAAATTTTGATGCAATAACATTAACTAATAGTACGTCTTCGAGAAAGAATATGGAATAAACTTATTTCCCTTTTCATTTGAACCAGGCGCCATTATCCAAACGAACAACTAGTTTTGATTCCATTAAACTTCATGCACAAATGGCAACGATTACATTTTAACAAGTAAAATAAAAATCTTTTTTTTAATTTCGAAAGCGATCTAATGTTTGCAATTTAGTTATCGAATTTTGTAATGTGGTGTATCTGGAAAGTTTAATTGTTGTTGTTTTTTTTTCTACTGAAATTGCCTTTGTTACATTCATATGTTATTACAAGTACATTTGAAAGTAGTTCTTACATCAGTGTAGTAATCTTTTGGCGTTGTTGTGCAGGTAGATTCAACTTTAGCTGTTATGTCGCTGCTTGTTTCAACTCCTTGACAACAAGTCGCCGGAACTTTTTCAGGCCTACAGTTATAATTATATTTCAAAAATAAACAAACGTATATGAACTGTTAAACAGCTAATGACCACTTCAAATCAACCTGCTATTGGCTCGAATCCCACTAAAAACTACTTAACGGCAGCTCTATCAAATTGTTAGTTCGTAAATCAAATAACGCGGGGTGAACACCAGTAAAGCTGAAACGTCCCCACATGGTATATCCAGGGTCAATAAGACCAGTGTTCCACGTAGATATACCTATAAATTGCACAACACCTCTAGATAAAAATATTATGTAAGACATCGCCTTAGAAATCATATAGCAAGAAAACAGCGGTAACGTGTATCATGACGTAACTTTGATAATAATATTAAAGTTAATTGGTCTACAATAGTGGGTTTGTACTACAATAAATTATTCCTAAGTACTAACTAGTATTTATTAATTACTAGTATTTCATACAAAACAACAAACCACGAAAAAATTATTATATGGATTTAGCTGGCAAGTGTGAGATTCATGGTCTGATATAACATACCTATATATATAGCAGGTATAGAACAAAATATTATCATATTTGTCAAATAAATTGTTCATACTAAATGACTTAAAACTTTATAAACATTTTGGTTTCTAGCAATGTTTTATAAGAATATCAAAATGATATGAGCCACGTTGCAACAAAACCAACATAATGGGTTTGCGACCAGCATGGATCAAGACCAGCCTGTGCATCCGCCCAGTCTGATCAGGATCCATGCTGTTCGTTATCAGTTTCGCTACTTGCAATAGGGTTTGTAAGCGAACAGCATGGATCATGATCAGACTGCGCGGATGCGCGGGCTGGTCTGAATCCATGCTGGTCGCAAACCCTTTATGTTGGTCTTGTCATGACGCGGCTCATATATTCTTACTTTTATCAATATTTGAAATACTTATGGAAAATGTGCCCATTGTAGGCCAATCCACTTTAAAGACATCAGTAAAAATTCACTCTATACTTACGGTGAGGCAACCGAACCCGTAACTGTAAACCATGATGTCGGTTTGCTTTCCATGTCCGAGTAACTGTTGACACCGCAACAACGTGCCTAGCAATGTCATAAGTGATTTTAAATTTTAAAGTGCGTTCGCATATTTTGTAATAGTGAAAGCGACATATCAGGTGGTTAATGCAATTTTGAATAGATAGATATTCAAGTATTTTCTTGTAAAAATCTTATTCACAAAGAAATATATATATATATCGATTTAATTATAATTTTGCTTACATGTACAAAGAATTTTTCATCCTTTATTGAGTACAAAAAAAAACCCATAAAACATTGAAAAATATCACTACATAACTTTGCTTTATGTTTTATTTTAAAATAAGGTCGTGAAAACAAAATAAAATACTTGTGGCGCTTTGGACAACGGATTGTATTACCACTAAAGTTTAGTGCAGTAACGGGTTAACTCCTTAAACTTTCAAAAGAAGGTAGCCTTTTAATGCAATAAAGTGACAATGAACAGGCTCAATCAAACCGAGCTCGCAATATTGATGCCGTTTTGGCGTTCTGTTGGCACTGTAAAGTATAAACTACCTTCATAAAGAGCTTGTTGAACCCCTTAGAAACGACATCGGTCTCTGTTGGACCTTTATAATCAGCGATGAGTGTCAGCATTTCTCCTTTCAACCATTCGTCAGACTGTAAATCACATACATTAAGTGATTTTAGCGAATATTTTTGTATAACAATTTCTTACAATTCGACTAAACATGGTCAAATTTACATGTGCAATAAACAAAAACAAAAAATAACAGACGAGTGGCGAATGTAAATATCATTGACCGTGTTAGCAAGTCTACTAACTTGTACAGTGTTACAAAAATGAAATAAAAAAATAAAGATGAAAATGAAATAACAAATATGAAGACAATAGTTTGAATTTTAAGCCAGAGCACAGTTCATCCGTTGCATTGTTCCTGGGCAGGCTGTCAAGCAGTTTAACAGTACTAGATGACTTCACTTTTGCAAGGAACTGATCAACTTCTGTACATCTGTACATGCAAGAGCAAAGGTACAGTGCGTAGAAAGAATTTCATGATCAATCAAAACGAAAATGACCTTCACCGTCATTGAATCGAACACGGGTCCCCCGATTAACAGTCATAGTTTATACCTATTGAGCTAACCGGACTGTTCCAATCATTTGGAATCCGGCTTCATTTCAAATACATAATGGTTATGAAAGTGATTTGGTCCTCTTTGTTCATGTTCTTACCCTGCCGTTGACATTGATCCAAAGTCCGACCAGAGTTGCCTGTAACAGCACCGTGATGACGAGGATCAGCACAAACTGGAAAACAAGAAAGGAAAATGTAAAACTAAGCTTCTCTTATCGACACTTTGACGAGAGGAGAAAGTATTTGTCACAGTTCACGTGATTTTATTGCGCTTACGTGGCGTTTCTTCAAATCTTATTGTTACTAGAACAGACTACAGAAATGTACAAACGGAAGCGGAAAAGTGTCATTAAACCTTTTTTACTGAGTAAGTGTTTTTATCGCAAACAAAAGGGCATTATTGTGATGTAATAGCACTCCTAGTGGCTTTTATTGTAAAGTCTGCAAATTTCGCGGGAGGTTAGAGATTTCGCTATTTTTGAGCATTGGAGTTGTTTCGCTACAATAAATGTTCTCTTAGTTTCTGCCATATTATGACTTAAATAACTAGAACTGAAAATCAAACACGTGAATTTTTGCAAGTTAGTCCGAAATGTTGATATCGCGAAATTTTGGTCTCTCGAAAATATCTTTTTACAGTAGCTGAAATTCAATCATTTAATATTTTAGAACACGAATAAACAGTAGTGTCCTAGTTATCCGCCATTTTTTTAACATTTGGAGGTTCTTGACTCTTGACACAAAGAAGTAAAGTAGTCATAACTGGCATAATGTTTCTTTTTAACATTATTCAATTTGCCCCAAATGCGTATTTGACCACGAATGATACGAAATAGAATTGTAAAAATTTCTCTGATCTTACCGATCAATATTAAGTATATAGAAAGTGATTATCCATGTTTTTGTTTACAAAGACCACGCACTGGAGAACGAAAATAAAAATTAACTATTTCTTACCACTAATAAACAGCATTTGATTTTCTTCCAAGCGCCGCAGATACCAATAATGGCGACCACCATGATAATGGCGCCAGTTGCTATCATCATGTAGCAGACGACTTGGACAACGAGTCCGACCCTGACGGAGCCATATTTGATTTTGTACAATAACGTAATGACGTCAGTGTGTAATAGACCCGACTCGAACAGTAACAGTAGGCCTGCAACCGCTAGAATACCACCAGCAACCTGGAAATATGTTACATATGTATGCTCAGTTACTAACAGAAATTAAAGCTGCACGCCTCCAGAATCATGCTTATTTTCATGATTTTTTTTAAATACGTATTTAAAAGTAAAATATTGTGAAGTGAACCAAGACAAAAACGGTAATTTCAAACGGCACTTACAATCCATGTTTATTCCAAAAAAAAATGTCAAAACATACATAAAAACCTTTTACTGCGTTAGTAACGCAGTGGAATTATAGTGATTGATACTGCAAAACCGGTCATTAATCGCATATAACATTTTAAAAATTAATCAATTTTGAAATCTTTTTACTTTCCTTAAAATAACAGACTAGGGATGATTCTGTTGAAAAAGTACAACTCACGGACATTATCACTAAATTCATGAAATAAAGTGGTATCCAATTTCCAACACAAGAAATAATGGAAATAATGACACTGAATGATATAAAACTAAATCAGAAATCAGAACAACTTACGAAGATGGCGATGTTCAGAATAACAAGCAAGTATTTTGCACAATTTTGGAAACACATCTGAAATCGGAAATAAGCGATTTTAGAATTAGAGAATAATAATAAAAAACAGTCGGAAAGTTATAAAAGAAACGGTTGCATAATGTTTGATTATTTTAATAATTGTATGAAAATCTTTACCAGAAAAAATTGTTTTATTATGAAATCAGTAAATGTATATGAATAAATTTGTTAATATCATTAAGTTTTTATTTATTCTTAATAATAAGAATATGTAATTACCTTGATGTTTTCACTGAAGTCGTTTTCTCTATTACACAAGTTTTATTTTGGGACCCAAATATAGATCACTCTGTTAAAACGCTTTATAAAGAATGAATTCGATTTCTTTTGTTCTTTTTTCAAATGATTAGTTTCAATTCATTTGAGACCAAAAAAATGACAATATGTATACTTTTGAAAAATTGTGTCGGAACAGTGACTGAGCCTTTTGTTAAATTGGCATTTGGGGGGAGATTTAGTTACCTATATGGCATAAATATTTTCGATAAGTCATGGTTGCCGTTGAAATGAAAAGAATACTAGCGCTTATTGGAAAAAAAAAGAACTCACCTAAATTTTTTGTTGAAATTAAAAAAAAAAATAAGTCTATTTTCTTCAAACAATACTGAACTTGTTGAAGCTTTATAACTAAAGTGTCGCCGTCACGTGAATAAGGTTAAACACGAGTATATATTTAACCCAAATTAGTGACATTTTATGGGGAGTATAAAAAAGCAAATAATGGTTTCATATTACTGGAAGTCTTGATCAAACCAACCCTTTCTATTATCATTTCATTTCGTTTCTAGGTCAGCAGAAATCCTTCCTGTGACGTTTTTTTTCCATTAAATAAAAGTTGAGCGTTTTAGATTTTTGTAAAGGTAGTCAAATTCATTTATTCTGATGTTTAATGTTATTCTTTGATACAAATAAAAACAATATACACAGTCCTGTATAGGTTTATAGATTAACGTCACGATTCAACAGTGAAATGTATGTTAAATAACTATCCATCTACGTTTATGGGGACGAAGAACCAATCTACTACGCAGTGATCTCCCCTTATCAATACAGAGATCTAATCTGCCAAGGGAGGTAATCATCGTGAGGAGTTTGCAAAGATCTATCGAGGATAACCTTGTTCAAAATATACTGATTTATTATACATGTATACTTATAAATGTAATATTGAAAAGTCTTACTTTTGTCAATTGAGGATAACATTACATTCTTCAAATATGCCCTGAACTTTTTTAATCGGCACTATTCTTATATACAGATTAAATTTCATTAAACAATAGGCACATTTCCAGAAGTATTTCCAATATTGATAAAATAATAGAAATGTATCATTAGGATATTCTAAGAGAACAAAATGCGGCTTAAATCCTTTGTGATTTAGAATGAACATTTGAGCCGCGTCACGACAAAACCAACATAATGGGTTTGCGACCAGCAGGGATCCAGACCAGCCTGCGCATCCGCGCTGTCTAATCAGGATCCATGCTGTTCGCTTACATACTCTATAACAAGTAAAGAAACTGATAGCGAACAGCATGGATCCTGATCAGACTCCGCGGATGCGCAGGCTGGTCTGGATCCATGCTGGTCGCAAACCCATTATGTTGGTTTTGTCGTGACGCGGCTCATTTATATGATGAATAATATTGTGTTCTAGAACACTATAATCTGCTATATAAATATATGTAATATCAGATCATATTTCTCACTCTTGCCAACAACACCCATATGTAATTATTTTGTGATTTGTTGTTATGTCTAATACTAAATATACATAACATTGTATTACAAACCTTCCAATAAATAGAGGATATTTGTTTAGTTCAGTGTAAGATCGGAATATATTTCACCGAGTGAGCACCAAAAGGTATATTTCACGAGTGGTGCAGCCACAAGTGAAATGTTTACGAGGTGAAATATATTTCGATCTTACATTAAACAAAACAAATTTTTCCTTTTATTACTTTTATTACATGCAAAGAAACGTTTAAAAGACATTTTAACTTAGTACTAAATGAAAAGGGCACCAAATAATAATATAACGTGACGTCATTTACGATGTCACGTCATTAATTAAGTTGGTTTCCAGTAATGTGAACGCTTGTATTTCACTGAAACAACCTACTGGGCTCAAATATTCAAAACAGTGAAATTATCAAATCGATAATTTCACTGTTTCAAACAGTGAAATATCAAGTTTTTAAATCACTGATATATTTCTATAAACCACCGAAAAGCATGTAATAAAGACCAATTCACTTTGTCAAAAGAAGTTTGCACACCGAAATGATCATTACAGTTCGATTTTATACCGGGGACATAATGTTCAAATCCACAAACCATGCCATTATATGAGGTTCTGCTGGAGTGAAACTGGGGCTCACAGGCCAGTCAGAAATGGAGAACATGACAAATGAAATTTATCATGATTTTCACATTTTGTAATAACCCTTGAAGTAAAGGTAGTAAGTACAGTTATGACGGGATAAAAATATCATGAATTAACAAAACACATTAGAGTACTTTATAAATATATCCTTAGTTATAAGGTGTAATTTAATACAAGTAAGTAAATATATAGCATTCACATTGTATATGTTAAAAGAACAATTACATAAACTATGAACTTCATCCCCCTCCCCCCCCCCTCTGATTTTATCATGGCTTGGGACATGCTAGATGCTAGAACTAGGCAGCATTGGGCGAAGTTAGTCCAATCACAAACACACTGTTGCACTTCAATATACTGGATGGTTTGAACAAATTTTAAAGTTGACTACCAAAGGAACATTCCTGTGAAGTTTGGATGAAATTGGCTGAAGTAGTTTATGAGAAGATGTCGTTTAAAGTAAAAGTTTACGGACGGACGCCGGACGAAAAGCGACCACAAAAGTGACAGGTGAGCTTATTAAAAGGTACCATTTTTTAGGCTTAATGGGCCTTTAAATTTCTTAAATGCCATTTAATAGGGAGGGGGAATACAACGATCATTACAACAACTTATGTTCGCTATCAGTTTCTCTACTTATAATAGAGTTGGTAAGCGAACAGCATTGATCCTGATCAGACTGCGCTGTAGGAGCACATTTGTCTCGGAGCACATTTGTCTTACGTAAGACCGATGCGGTCGCATTTGTCCCACATGAGACAAATGGGACCTCAAATGTCTACCCAAAAAAACTCATTTGTGTGACATATGTGCTCCGATCAAGTTTTTTAAGGGGCAAGAAAGCACATTTGTCTCATGTGTTTTCAGGGGCAAGAAAGCACATTTGTTTCATGTCATTTTTTATGAATTATTTGTCACATATTTCCCCACGCCAGAAATTCTTTTTCAGAATGGAGGTACGCCGTTTTTCCTCATATCAAGTGTAATCATCAAATGGTTTGCTTATGCTTCCTTTAAAAAAAACTGAACATACTAAATCCCGTTCACGATGGTACAATATTGACAGCGCGCTGGCACGATGGTACGTTGATAAAAACTCGATGGTGCAATAGTGAAAACACAATTGTACGAACGTGAAACAAGGATTGTACGATGGTGAAGATGATGAAAACGTGATGGTACTATGGTGAAACACGATGTTACGATAATGAAAATACGATGGTACGATATGATGAAAATGCGATATTATTTTCTCTATCGTGTCATCGCATCATCGTGATTTCACCATCGTGCCATCGTGTTTTAATCGTCGTACCATCGTACCATCTCAATTTCACCTTTGGACCATTGTGCATAGCTGTTCAGGGAGACAAAAATGTTACTTATGTCCAAACGGAACACCGTAATCGGTTGATATTGTATGATACAATATCGTGACTCGTTTTGCATCTTGCCGAAATCTCGCGTCTCGCGAAATATCGCGTCTCGCTTCGCATCTCGTTCGTCAACGCAGGACAAAAAATTGAATTCAGGTGATATACCGCTAAGTAGTATTCTCTTATAAAGTCTACATAAAATCACTTGTATTCCTCAAAAGCTTTTTATTTTTGGTATACTTTTAAAGCTCCAAAAGGTTAGTCTGAAGCATTTTTTCATCTGCTGCTTTTTTTCAGTTTGCACTGTTGAAGTGATTGAGATTTGTATTGAAGTCAAAATACTACTTTGTTGACATTTTGCTACTTCTGTGACGCATTATTTCACATTTATAGCGAATTTCTTTTGGTAACAAACATCTAACTTCCTCAGAAATCATTATTTGAATATTGATAAATTCATACTTGCCCTATCTAAAGAAGTAAACATTCATTTATTTCTGAAATCTCGTGGTACTCGATACTTCGGCATTGCGAGATCTCGTGTTACAATATCGTGCCTCGCTTTGTGTCTCATCGGAATGTCGCGTTTAACCCGATTCTGAGTGGCCTGATATTCCATACTTATGGCATTACCCGGATTATTTTATGAACTCATGCATGTTGTAAGTGCTTTTTCAATGGCGTATCTGAAAACAGCAATTCTTGGAAATTTACGATTTTTTATACATATATTTCTGATGAAAACAAAATACGTGTGTAATGGTCTTTTTATTTTCTTACATATATCATTTAAGGGCCTCCGTGACCAAGTGATTTCAAAAAACCATGTACTTGTCCCTAACCGCTGTAGGTTCGACACATACACGGGGCGTCCTACTATTCATGCGAAGATCCCGGTCAGGGTCCAAATGCGGAATACATATCCGCGTGCGCACGTAATAGCTATCGTGTGCGCACGTAATAGTATCGCGTGGCAACGGAAAAGCTATCGTCTGCACACATAATAAATAAGAAAATTCTATGTCCCCTTTGTGCCACCGTAGATTCTACCTTGATTTCTAGTGTCATAAATCATCTATAAAACTTTAAGCATTGAAAATAAACGTATCACAATTAAAATAATAAGAATAGACTTGCAGCATATGTGTTTAGGTTCTAGATGCTGCACTTGTAGAACATTTCATTGTGACATGCAGAACAGGGATATTCTTTAATTTAATATATGACTCCTATGCAGAGACAGGATGTTTTTGACTGACCGGAAGTGACCTAAAAACGGTATTATAAATAAAGAAAACTCAGAACAATGGCTGGTAGCCGGTGTATAGATGGGCATAATTATTACCTTTTAAGAGTTTTATGAAAAAAATGTGAGACAAATGTGCTTCGAGTGTCCTTTCCATTGTGGGTCGAACACATCTGTCTCATTTCCAATTTGTCGCAAATATGAATGTTTACGAATACATCGGTCACACTTCGTGAGACAAATGTGTCCCGAGACAAATGTGCTCCTACAGCGCAGGCTGGTCTGGATCCATGTTGGTCGCAAACGCACTATGTTGGTTTTGTCGTGACGCGGCTCAAATTCAGTATTAAACTGACACTCATTCAATATCTTCAATATCCTTTATATCTTTAATACTTTTTTAGAATGTACCATAGCAAAAAGGTAAGTTAAAAAAATTAAAATGTCAAATAGGGGGAATAACTGAGAAAAAATGAATTCTTAAGTTACCTGCCCTTTAGTAATGCAATCCAATTCAAAAGTTGACCAAGTATTTGAAGTCTGAAATGATTAGCTTTGAAAGATTTTTAGAAGAAATAATTATGTGAAAAAGGAGCACAACTGTTATGATTATGTCATTCCTGAATTGTTGTCGTATACATGCTTTTATAGCAATAAACATGCATACCAAGCTTTAATTATTAAGTAAGAAGCCTATTTAGTTCCTTAACAAAAAAGGTTAACCAAATGTTTCATCATGGCTCGTCACCATACAGACTGTTTTTTTCGTAAATGCAGACATACGACAAATGTGTTTTGCATTAAGTGTTTTGACCTTGTTGTAATACTTTAGTCAACATCAGTAAAATGTTTGCGTTCTGTTACATGACGAAGATATTGTTTTGATGAAAACGATTGAAACGCAGGATAATGATGTTTAAAACGAAAAAAATAATTCATTAATTTAAATTCATTAAAAAAATCCCTTCTCTATATACACAATGTGCATGTTTTTAAAATATAGAAGGGGTAATTTTTATGTATAAAAGAGGTACAATTTTCTGATTTTTGTTGAAATATGTTTTATTTGTTTTAAACTTCAGTTTCCTGATCTTTGTTATAAACTTCGGTTTCCTGTGATTATAATCAAAGTCTGTTAATTCTATATTGAGAAATATTGTTCATTCTTTGACCAACTTCTGTAAGAAGTTATACCTATAGAGACGCTGTTGTTAAATACAGCGGTTAATATATATGTTGTATTTGAATAATATGATAACAGATAAAGAATGTACTGATTTTAATATTACTGCTGGTCATGCCATAGGACTTTTCATTACACATTTAAAAAAAATACTAGTAATCCTTATAAGATTAGATCTGTTGAGGACCAATTGAAAAACTGTATTTACCCTATATTTAATTATACTAAAGGAAGGAAACATTTCTGAATTAATTAATTATAGTACACTCTTTTAGTTGAATGTTGTAGATTGAAAAGAATTTAGGCTGCGACAATCTGTCACTACAGGGAAAAATGAAACACTTAAGATGACTTCCAAGATGGATGCCATATAAAGAATTCGTAATAATAAGGTCATACGTGATATTCACGTGTGATATTTACACAACTATGGCAGGAATACAACACACTAATATATATAGGAAATACAAGTCATCTCGTCTCATTGCTAAATGGCAGGGGTTTAAGTGGTACATGTAGATAAAACAATTATACATGTATTTTGCAAAATCTTAATTATTACACAAAATAACCTGTAAGTTTTCATTGATTCAGAATATAAACTGCCTTGTGCTGTAATTGAGGTTTACATTAAATTATACTCCGATCAGTTTATTTTCTGCGTCACAAATAGCCAAGAATTTAAAAAAGTTACAGTGCCGTTATGTCAAATTATTATTGATAAAAAAACCCCATAAAATGTTACAAAAAGAATAATTAAGTATTTTTTCAAAATATCATTCCTACATGTAATTTGAATTCCAACCATGAATGGGATCGGCAATTACTTTGGTATAACATTGATGTCTAAATGCTTTATCATTGATTTTTATTTATTTATTTTTCATTGGTTGGGTTCATGTCGCACCAACACAGTATAAGTCATATTGCAACTTTCCAGTTTTATTGGTAGAGGTTGACCTCAAGTGCACTTCCGTGCATTATTCCGTGCACGAACGGACGGGCACCCGAGTAGAACCACCGACGTTCTGTTAGCTAGCTGGAGAGCTTTTTCAAATGAAAGAATCCGAACCCACAGCGATGAGGGGCAAGTGCTTTGAAGTCAACGGCTTAACCGTTCGGCCATAGACACCCTCTATCATTGAACATAAAATAATCAAACAAACACCAAGCTTCAAAGTTTTCAATTTTAATAATAATAAATATAGTTACTCGACAGCAAATAGTTTTATTTATTATCACAATATAAAATAATTCGTTTGACAATATTCAAACAATACTTGTACATAGATATCACAGACATTCAAATAAACTGTAAGAAAATGAAGAAAATCAACATTGACTTCAGACATGATATGTTGACACTTCTCTCCATGTATTTCCTCAGCAACAAAAGAAAGATTTGGACGGATTTGTGACAATAAAAGTTTTTTCAAGACATAAAGACAATTTAAGACATAAAGTACAGTAACATAATATTTCCATAAAGAATTCTTGAAAAGACTGAATAATTACGTTGATAACAAAAATAGTTATTTTGTAATGGGACATGAAATAAGGTTGTACTTTTTAATTTATGACTGTTGATCAATAACTGTTCAATAACATACATCTAAATTTTAGTTCTACAAAACTTTTTACAACGCATTCTATTCATTTGTTTCTCTATATCTTCACAAACTTCCAAAGAAATACTGTAATATTTGTAAGTCAACAAATGTTTTTCAAATTAAACATATTAAATTAAATTTCTGGTCACATGATAATTGTATAAAATTTGTTTTAACAACGCATAGAAAATAATTCTGTTTTTTTTTTTTTCTTCTTTCTTTACTTTAATGACTAAAACATCATCCAAACTGTCACACTCTATCACAATTTAATTACTAAGTGTTCTCATATTTGGGCTCTGTGGAAGAGGGGGTTGGGCGGGTGGCAGGATGTGCCCGCCTTTACGGGATAGCAACATAATCTCCTCCTTGAGGGCGTCAATTTCTTGTGCTTGAAGTTGTACAAGCTGAATCAAGCGCTGTTTCTCACGCACATCAGCTTTGCGGGCACCCGAGTACTCCTCACCCTATAACATATATGTAAATATTTATAATTGTTATGATGTAACAGTTACATTTTTAATATTTTGAACAAAATAATACAAATTGTAAGAAATCATGTTTATCTTTTAAACGTGTCTTATTTCATTTCTTTTTTTCCCAAAGAGACTGGTACTTTTCAGGCCAAACTACATTATGAAGGTCAAACAATACTGTGGAGGTCTTACAATACTGTTAATGTAACAATATCAGTTCAACCGCCATTTGAATATCAAACTTGAATTTGTAAGCTAAAAAGACACTGCTAAGGTCAAACGTAGTTTCCACGTAACATTTGTAATGCACAAAGATAATACTTTTTCAATCGAGATACAGTACGTTTAATTTGGAGATGAAAACATTCTATAACAAAATAAATCTCCATATTCTTAACATTTCCATTACAGTTTCAACTGTAAATAGCTTTTGCTAAATAGTATTGCTTAACAATCAACTTCAAAAGCACCATTCAAAATATTTATAGGTAACGATTTGAATAAAGCAATTTTAACGAATCAATAACTTGAATAAAAAGTTCTGATAACTCAGTAAAGCTCTGTATTACGCAAACTAAATAATCATTGACCGCCTGCCTCGGTAATAAGATCATTAATTTTCATGAGTTGTTGTAAGAAAGCACTATCTATGTTAACAATATATATAAATAACTAGAAAATTATTGCACTGCTATTTTATCTACCTGCTTTTTATGAAATACACATATAACTTTGTATATTTCATCTTTTATAGATGTGGGAATGATTTATCTCTGTATATTAATGCTAGTACCTCATCATAGAGATGTATTATGATTACTAGAAAACAAAATACTTAAGTTTTTAGCGATAAAAATAGTTTAGCTTTGTCCCAATTCCTTGAATATATGACCAATGACTTTTTATGACATGCCAAAAATAGTCAAATGCTGAACAATGAACTATCTGTCAAAATTCAAATTAAAGACATTAAACTTTCTTCTTTAGAACGCTGCCAGAATAACTTTTAAATGTGGCAACAAGATTAAATAAGTCCAAAGAAATATCGCCTAGTACATGTGCCTGCGGAAGAAACCTGACATCTTGACTTAACAAAAGGCATGTCAGTGTACATTTCAATCATTCAGTGCATGCACATTTGTCCAGAAAAAAAATGTTAAATGTTGGTCAAGGAAATATTCCGTTATGTGAATTTTTAATATGAAAAATTATTGGACGTAATGAATATATGTAATGAACATGAACAGTGTAATGCAACGTTGCACATGAAGTTGAGAAAAACTATCCTTTGCAATATAATAAATATGCAGGTGCAATGCAATGGTAATAAAGATATTCTCTAAAGCAAAGTTGCAATTGTGCAATGCATCAAATACGAAGATATGCACATTCCTCTTTGCAGCAAATTTGCAACCACTTACCCCTTTCTTAAGCTATTCAATATTACAATAAATCATTAGCATATTTACATTATCAAACGTTTGAAAAAATACCTTGCCGTAAAATAATAATTTGTACAAACTTACTAACTTTTAATCAAAGCTGGTACAGAATCTTATCTTTATACCATGTATAATATCAAACTGATTTACTTCCTTTTTTTGTTTATTCATCTTTTTCAAATGTTATATAAACTATAGCATTGAGAACTTTACAAATTTCATAACTTTCAATTTCCTTGCTGAGAAACAATAATAGTGTATGTTAGAAACATATGTTGGTTTTTTACATTGCAACTCAATTTGATGGCCACATGACAACTATCCATATAATTCTGAAATTTCTGGCTCGGTCAAGCATCTTAGTGTGACCACTGACATACGTGGGTGTTTATAGCTACCTTTTGGTCGTCACACACAGTTGTAGCGAAGAACATGTATCAAACCAAAAAATTATTTTCTGACAACAGCCTTAAAATGTTGCACCATAAATTTGACATTTAAAAAAAGTTTTAAAAAATGATGATAAATGGATAAGTTACCAGATTTTTCTGTCTTGAGTCGAGTGCCCCTTCCGAGCCATGTTTGTTGTTCAATAAATTTGAAAGTTGATTTAGTCGTTTTGTATTTTCTCGTATTAAATCTGTAATCTGGTTCTTCTTCTCAGATATCAATTCCTGTATAAACGTTATGATGTATCAATTACTTATCTAGTAAAAGTTATACAAAAGTGTCTGTTTTCAAATAAACCGGAAAAATTTGAGACAAATTCAATCAGAAACTCCAATCAGAAACTCCAATCAGAAACGAAAAGCAAACCTTAAACACTAAGAACAGGTACATGTAATTCTACTGCTAAAAAATAAAACCTGACAGCATGGCAATGTCAAAGAAACAAATTGGATTGAATAATGTGTAACAGTCAAAATTATTGCGCAAAAGTTATGTATTTTCAATCAAAATAAGTCTATAAATATTATTTCCTAAAGCCAGCATGTGTTCAATGAACTTACATTCCATTCCGTTACTTCTTCAGCACATTGGATTTCCGTCATTCGTAGTTTTTCTTTGAGCTCTTCAATGTTTCTGTTAACAGTGACGGTCTCGAGTTTCTCGATGTCGACAACACAGCCAAACTTACTGACCATCATCTCCTCACAGTCTGTCTCCATCTCAGTCATCTTAGCTTCAAATATTTTACGATCTTTTATCAACTGTACATGTTTCTTCTTAGATTCTCTGAAAAAATGTATTATATAGCGATTAAAATAAATTAAAGTAAATGCTAAATTCGAAGGATGAGTTCTGGACCTTCGGAGTTATTGAACAGCGTAAAATTTAAGAGTCAATCAAAGTTATATAAAACAGTCCCATTTAAATGGAATATACGGACTATTGTTTGTTTTACAGATATTATATTCTATTTTACTTCTTCGCGCAAAAGGAAAAGAGAACATGAATCAAAACTTTTAAAATTTGCAGAAATTAAAATATTCTGAATTTTATAAAAAAAATAAATATTTTCTGACTTTTTCAAATCAAATATCACAGACAAGGTATCATTCTTATCCAAGTTCATTTCAAATACATATAAAGACAGGTCTGTCTGGGCATCATTTAGTTTTAAAAGTGACTAAGCCATTGTGATTCTTACACTGAACAATCATCAGCTAGATCTATATCATTTGCAAATCATCAACAATTATATCAGTATATAATACCGAATGAAAGACTTATGCTTAAAACTTATATCATCTTCTATTTTCCAAGGTTCATGTCAATCAGAAAGGGTTATTGTCCTTTCACAAAAAGAAAATATCTTTCCTTTTAAATCCATACACAACTGTATAAAGCGAAAAACAACAAACACACCTCATATATTTTTTCTGTGAATGTTTTTCATGTTCTAATTCCTTTATCCTAAGTTGTAGTCTAGTGACACCGTTAGATTCGAACACAAGAGTCTGGCCGAGGTCCTGTGGTAGGATACCGTTTATCATGTACTGTATTTGATGTAACTTGAGTGATACAACAACATCAAGCTCGTTCAACTTCTGCTGTTTCTCAAGCTGTGAAGAAAAACATTTGTGATTGAGTGGAACAAAACGTTTAATACTTGACATTTGTAATGTCCATTTAATTAATTTCACTTCAAGAAAGCAATAGTATTTGTATTTTATATGCATTACTTATAAAGACTTTAGACATGCTATATAGGTTCTTTTCTACAAAAGCTTTACCTATCTTTAAACGCTTGCAATGTTCTTTCCATACCAGATATGAACATTTATATTACAAATTATATAAACTGTTTCATCTAAAAGTTTTTACTACAATCATCTTAATTCTTTCTTTCTTTCTTAGAGTGTTATAAGGTGCATTGTAGTTCTAAGACTGTAACTGTGACATATTATTTTATTGAAACATCAGTTCTTCACACTGATTTTTACATTATTTCCCGTTTATTGAGTCAATTTAAACATGTCAAAGACACCTTTCTGCAATACCTTAACATACACATATTTCTGCTGTACACCAGGAATAACAAATAATCACAAACCTGGAATGCCTCAAGATCTTGTTGAGCAGTTTTCAATCCATTGTCAATGACCTTGGACTTTTTATGGAAACTATCAAGTTCCTTCTTTAGGGTATCATTTGTTTTCTTCTCTTCAACTAGAGCTTCTTCAATGTCCAATCTCTTCTCACGTAACTGACAGGTGGCTTCATACAGATTCTGAAATATATATGATCATTTATAAAGTATTGTTTCAAGCAAGTGGTAATTGTACTGAGCCTTAAAACACTAAGCCATAATTGATCAAACAAAACCATGACTGAACAATCTAATAGTCATAACTTGCTATATATGTATGTATTGTATAGAAGTATGAGCAATATGTACTTTATACAAGATCATGGTATTGATAATTTGGCATTTTTGATGTAATTTCGCAGTTTGTTGACTCTAACTTTTTGTTTTAAGATAAGCTGTAACAATATACAATTTTGAAAGTAAAGGTATCAGTTAATCATATATTTTTTGTACTATAAAAACAACATTGTGGAGATCAATTATACTATAATATAGAACTACTCAAATATAAACAAAATTAATGAAATGAATCTTGTATAAAATTTAGCTATTGCTTTATTCAAAGCAACAGACAAGTACATTGAGGAGTGAATTCAAAAAGGGTTTAATGTCCCACCAAACACAGTACAGGACATATGGTGACTTTCCAGCTTTACTGGTGGAGGAAGGCCTCAAGTGTCCCTCTGTGCATTATTTCAGGAACAAACAGGCACCTGAGTAGGAAAACATTGTTAGATTAGCTACCTGGATAACTTTCTGACATAAAAAATTCAAAAACACTTGCACAGCTTGAAAGTACAGCAGTGAGTGGCAAGTGGTTTGATGTTACTTGGCCACAGATGCCCCTGGTAAATTAATTAATTAAAGTAATGTGAAATCAATTTAAACAGAATGAACTGTATATATACCTGATCACATCCTGGTGGACAAATGTCAAGGTCATAACCTCCAGTCTCAGATTCATCATCATCCTCATCTTCATCCCAGTCAGAATCATCATCTGAATCTTCATCACTATCTTCATCATCATCATCTCCTTCAGTAGCCTTCTTTTTTGACCTCTTTATCCTTTTCTTGAATACTTTGGTAAGATAGTCACCAAACTTGTTGTTTTCACCAAGAGATGCTACAAACTGAGCATGTAGAGCTTTTTCTCTCTCCTGTAACTTTTCTATATCCTTTTTCTTTACTTCAAGTTTAGATGTTACATCAACAATCTACAAAAAACAGCGATTTTTACTTCATTACTGAAGAAATGAAGTTAATAGATGTTATCAAGAAACTTGGCAAATGTAGGGTTTCCCCATTTAATTCCATGGTACAAACAAACTTTGATTGATCAATTTTAATTCTTAACTCTTAAAAGTATTTAGACTGACAGAATCACTAACTTCACTATCTCTCACACCAAGTCTGTAACTTTCGTTTAAACTTTGTTTCCATTGGCCTCGAGGCATAACCCTTGTTCTGTATTTTTCTATGTAAGTCTTATATACATATAGCTAAAAGGAAATTGTTTCTTTGGAAACTGATTCATTTTGGACTTCTGTGTTTATTGAGAACTGTGAGAACTAGAAACAAATACCTACCTTAGCCTGCATATCGAGTTTCTCTTGTTGTTTATTGGTAACTTTCTCCGCCAGAACATCTTCTCTCTTCTCATACTCCTTCAGTAACACCAACTCTTCAAACAATGTCACTTGTCTGATAAAAATAAACAACAAATTTTAATACATACTTTTTTATATACCATATATTTACCACTATAAATGGTCTAAATATTACACTTGTTACATCAATGTCAATCCAATTCAATTTGTTGCCTTTCTCTGTACACATGTTTTCTTGCAGTACTTAACATAATGAGGATAAAAGTAAAGAATGATAGGTATAAAATGAGAAATTTGAGAAACTACCAAATTTCTAGAAAGTTACATTCATCAAGTTATAAGCAGCTATGGCAACAACAAAATATTGTGAAATTTTGGTTGCTATGGAAATGTTTTTAAGTTTTAGCAACACAACACAATATTTTAAATTGCATCGGAATGAAAACTAATTGTTATTTAATTAAAAAAGATTCTTGGTCAATATCAGAACTTGATAACTAAAGATTGATAAAAAATACAGTTATGCAATTTTTGCACATTTTAATCTACATGTAATCATGAATATCAAATTAAAATATCAAAATTGAGCCGCGTCACGAAAAAACCAACATTTTGGGTTTGCGACCAGCATGGATCCAGACCAGCCTGCGCATCCGCGCAGTCTGATCAGGATCCATGATGTTCGCTATCAATTTCTCTACTTGTAATAGTGTTTGTAAGTTAACAGCATAGATCCTGATCAGACTGCGCGGATGTGCAGGCTGGTCTGGATCCATGCTGGTCGCAAACCCACTATGTTGGTTTTGTCGTGACGCGGTTCAAATCTCTTATTGTAATAAGGAATCCTGAGACGTTCATATAACAGCAATAAAGACATACAAAAGCATGCAACAGAACTTTACCTGAGGTCAGCATTTTTCATTGTAATGTCTAATCTAAATTTATCATGACGAAGAAGACGTAGTTCAGCATCAAAGTTCTTCAGAAGCTCATTAATACGATTGAGCAATCTATCCTGTTCATATGTCAATCTGTTCAACACAAAAATATTATATTAGGCAAAGTGCAGGACAAAAAAGTTATTTCTAGCAGATGTATTATTAATTCATGACTGCAAATCATGTTGATTTATTTCAATAACATCACATCTTCAACTTAGTGCAGTAATGGGTTAACTCATATACTATATGATTTACTAGGAGTTAACCTGTTACTGCACTAAGGATGACAATATGTGAATTCCACTGAATACTTGTAAGTATAGCATATACTTTTTAATTAAAGGCGACAACACTTTATTCACAGCCCTGTAAATATCTATTTTTTCCAACAAATAATTAATAATTATGATAAATTTCAGACCATCTGAATTTTATATGATTTTGGATAAAACACTAAAAAAAGTATTTTTACTAATGTTTCCTAATATTTACCGGATAACTTCAGCTTGTTTCATCTGTGCTTCTAGGGGAGACAACTCTTCCTCTTCTCCTTCCATATTTGCGTCAGTGTCATCTACAGCTCTTGCTGTACTCACCGTGGTTGATTGCTTGTGTGTCATTGTTGGTGAGCTGCTTCGTAATTCCTGAAAAAATAAAATTCTTTCTATGTACAAAGAAATTAAACATTTTAACACTATGTGCAATGAAATTAAACATTTAAACAATCTTAATATGAAAACAGACACTTGAATCTAAGGTCTATTCACACTTTTTAGTGCAAAACTAACATTAAAATTAACATTTTAAGCATATTTTTTTTCATTTGAAATTATTCCTTAATATTGCTTTAAAATAACTTAAGACTTAATTATGTCCTTTTGACATAAAACCGTTAAAACTCCATCAAAACTGCACCCCTAATTATTAAAAATTCTTTAAAAGTAAAAACTTTGGATTGCAAAATTTAAATCAATAAAACCAAAAAAATAATATTACAAAATTTGCCATCAAGAGGAAAAAATTAATTCTGATTCTGGTACAAACTTACACTTTTCTTGTCCGGTGCAGCACCCCCACCGAAGCCACCGAATCCCCCGAAACCTCCAGACTCCTGGTTACCTTTCTTTGATGAAGCTTTCTCTGCCATCTCCTTCTTAAATGCAACCAGTGTCTCGCGGGTATATTCTAGCTTCCTAAAATATAAATGATTCCATGACATATTAACTTGCATTTTTACCCTTTCATTGCTGTATAAGAATAACAAACAAATAAGTTTAGCCTTGCTTCAATTTAGAAGTAAAGTTTTAAATATAATTCTAATATAAAGAAATTAACAATCATAGTCTGGTCAAATGACACAGGTTTGCCTTACATTATGCTAGTGACATACACAAGGTTTTTTTTGAAGCTGTTATGTACATGTGCTTTCATCAATGCTTGTTTTTAACATAAAATCAAAAGTATATATAAGCAATCCAAATCTTGAAAGCACCCTTTATCCACTTTTACAAGTGACTGCAATTTTTTTCATTTATTTTCCAGCTAACATTTGCAGTATCTTTTTGAGCATGTTAAACATTTCTTCTTACTGACTTAAGTAAGACATCTATATTCATATCCCTTTAAAACAATTAAATATTTTCTGTACAGCTTACTTTTCAGGCATCTCGTCAGGGTGCATTACAGGCACTGGTGGTACAGGTTTGATCAGGGAAGCTTCCATCTTGGAATGAACAAGTTCAAGCTCTGTTATGAGGTCCTTTATCTCTTCAATAGTTTGTATCTTCTTGTCACGCATGGCCAACAATCTCTGGTTGAACTCGTATTTATTCTCATGTATCTATAATATAACAGAATCAAACAAAGTTAGATAGAATTGATTTTTTTAGTTTGTAGCTTTTTTTTGGTAAATCAACATAAAATATCTTATTCAATACTCAAGTATACATGTATATCTAAAGACTTGAATGTAAACATATTAATTGGTTTTTAGCTCAACCCAGCTGAAAAGAGAAGAGTTATCATTCTTTCTTTTTTAAGTTGATGTTTAAACTTTTTTTTGTTAAATAAAATATAATTTCATTTACTATTTGCCTAAAAGAGTTATCATTCTTTTATTTTTAGATGATTTTAAAACTTTTTTTGATAAATAAAATTCAATTTCATCTATTTGCCTAAAAGAGTTATATTCTTTATTTTAGACAATTTTTTTGTGACAGAAATGAAATTACATGGCATCTAAGTATATTATAATTTCATCGACTATATACACAGTAAACACTATTAAATGACTTTGCAGCTTTTAAATGTCATACAACATACCAAATCTTTGAGCACCAGAAGCCTGCCCCTGGCTTTATCAACATTCATTCTAAGATGGTCAGGAACAACATAGTCATTGGCCGTCTTTAGTTTATAGTCTCCCATGTTGTCTTTAGCCTCTTTAATGGCAGATATATCAGCTGGGTCCTCATAATCATCATCTGGTTTTGTCTCATATAACTCTGCCCACTGTAATAACATTAAACATTGATTATTTCATTACCTATTTAACATTTATTTTACATTTTAAAGAACTAAGCTAAATACCCTTTTTACTTCAAAAAGTTAATTCAAATAGTCCCCCCAAATAATATTGTTGGATTGTATAACATTATGTATTTTCTTAGTCCAATATCAGAAAAGTACAATTCCATAGCTAAGGAGAGAGCTACAACTGGCAACATATATTTATCTGAACAGAAAATTTATTTGCCCAAAAAGGTCAAAGATCTCAAAGTAAATTCAGAAAACAAGACTTTTAACATGATCATCTTGTTTCAAGGTTTATTCAGTACGTAAACAGATGGAAATTTATCAAGCTGCATTCAAAGATTTTTTTCTTCAAATTTTGTTCAAGTTAGGCTGGCTATACAAGTACTCAGAACTTAAATACTGAGAACCTAAAATACTTGACAAGAGTGTAACATACCAAAAGTAAATGCTTTTTTTACCTGAGCTTTTCTCTCTGCTCTTTTCTTTTTCTTTTCTTCAACTTTATAAAGAGCTTTAGTAATTCTCTCCCCCATGCTACCTTTCAGTGTGGTGATGACCTTGGCCCCTGTCTGATCCTCGGCTTTCTCCCCTATCTGACCAGTGCTGTCTGTTATACGAGTAGCACCTGTAACCAAAATTAGATCATTTCAAAATATTGCTTGTATTATAGATGCAAATTATTTTTATATTTAAACAGGTCATGTGTCTCCCACTGTTTTGGCAAAACAAAATGCAAAAGGATTTTTTCCTGACTTTTCTGAGCCGTTTCAAGGAATTTAACTTTTTCCTGCATGACCACAGGTTAAATATTAAAATTTTAATCAATAAGGCGCCATATACTTTTTTTCAATTTTTTTATCAAATCTGAGCCATAACTTGATCTCCACATATCTTACTACAAAGACCACCTGTGTTAAAAATACTAAACTAGTTTACCTGTAAGAAGGTCTCTTGTTGGATCCCTGGTTATATCATCTTTGGTTAACTGTGTCCTCTTTCTCTCAAACTCAGCTTTTTTAATGTAGAAATCATCAGAGAGCTTTGATGCTCGGAAACTTGCAACTTCATGTGCCGATTCAAAAGCCTTGACAACTATTCTATCACATTCCACTACATCCTTAAACCTACAATATTAACATGCATATTTTAGTCAAATTTTAGATAAAATATTTCAAAATTAAGTGACCTGAATAGGAAATAGTCTTATTTTCAAGATATTTGTTGAAAGACCATAGTGCTGAAGATTGAATTTACAGAATCATTAAAATTCAAGAAAAGTTTTCATCTTTATAATCATATTTTTATTGCTGTAGACTTTGTACATTTAACATAAAGAGTATATTTGATACAAAACAAAATACAAATTATACAAAAAAGTAAACACATGTTAACAGCTTGAAGAAAATGGGTTGTACAATAAGTTTAACCACAAGTTTTCATTGTAAAAACTCTGCCAGGGGTATCTGTCAAACAAACAATTTCAACTTTTAAAGATGACGACTTTCTAATTTTTTTCTACTTTAAAATATCCTTTGAAAGAAATGAAACACATTTAACATTTCACTTTTCTACTTCACACACAGCCAGCAGCATTCTACATAACATAGCTTTTAAAATACTAAAAAAACACCATTTTTGATAAATATCTGATTACCTTTTCCTCAATTTCTCGAGGGCTATTCTTTGTTTTTCAGACTCCCAAGCCAGTTCTTTCCTCACAACATCAATTTTCTCAGTCTTGTGACGTTCTAACTCCAGCTTTATTTCTCTGTCCATCTCAAACTCCTACCATTAAAATAAGTCAAAATTTTAGTTTTTAGTTCTTATGCTCCTATAATTGTGAAATGGACTTGTCCTGTTTTGTATTTGGAACTGTCTGTTGTGAAATTTGAGGGGACTTAAATATCATAGTATAAAGTCGAGTAGCAAAGTAGTTCGTTGAGACTGCATATGGTGGTACTCTATATTGTTTGCGTAGACATGTAATTTTGCATTGAACTTACTTTAAGCAAAAGGCAGTGAGTGAAAAAAACACCTCAAAGCATTGTAGTATTTAACTGAAAGCAATTTTTTGCGGGACTAAGCTGTCATCTTTAAATTATATCTTTTTCAATTTGGAAAAAATGACATTACTTGACACAACTCTTCTGGGCAATAATAAAATATTTTCATTCCTTGATAACAATATTACACAAACTTACATCTTTATGTAGTCTAAGATGTTTGGGCAGTGAGTCGTTCTGTTCCAGTAATTGTTTAAACATACGTCTCATCTTGGCGACATGTCGTCGTACTTCACGTTTCTTCTCCTCTGCCTCCTTCATCATCTTATCATGTTCTGCTTTCTGTTTCGCCTCCTCAATACTGTTATATAACAAGATATTTAAGTTTTTATGATATTTCCTCACTAAGATAATGATTTGTTTAAGTATATATTAAATTCCTGTTTCCATATTTCAAACCAGTTTCTTTCAGATTAATGGCACTTTTTAATTTCAAAGGTGAATGGCTTAGCATACAACTAATGTCCTGTTACCTTATCTTCCATGATTTTTGACCAGTTTTACTTTAAATTAGAGTCTTTTTTTTCATAAAAATTGAGAGGTTATTCATTCAATATTGTTAGAAGCTATAACAGGGTTGAATCTATCACAATAGATGATATGTTTCAACAAAAGAGACATGCTTTAAGTATAACTTCTGAAAATGAGTACCTTCAAATCATGTCGTACAAATGATGGGAAATTTGCATAACTCAAATCAGTCAATTTCAGGAACTATTTTCATACAACCTCTCCACACCTGTCAATAATCTAAATTATATGTAGTGAAAAATTGCTTATTGATTACATCAAAACAAATCTTAGACTACAGAACAAATGAAAAAAAATCACCTGTAAGCCTTTGGATCTTCAATATCATCTGGTAAATTTGTTTCATCAAGTTTCTGAAATAAAACAATAAATTAAATATATCTTTATCTTAATAACATGAAATAATTTACTTTTCAAAGATTTATTATGATTACTGTTAAAATCTGTTTTCATATGACACATACTTTACCAAAGTAAAACATTATAAAACAGTTAAAGTATAAAAAAATAATGGCATTAATAATAATGTGACCTGCCACAGGATGTCAATTAATATTAATTAAATAGACAAGTACTTTTAAGCTGTTTGTATCTATTATTACTTTGTGACATCAAAAAATTTAATTTCTTGATCTGGATATTACCGACTCTGACTAACTGTCGACTGTATTAAGTATAGCGAACACTAATAGCATAGCTCTACCAAATGATATACATTTTAAAGTCAGATTATAGTTTAACTCAAATAAAATATAAATCAGTCGAAAAGTAAAATATTTTCACATAGCATAAATTACACACTTGCAAATGGCAAAGTTTTGCTATTCGGACAATTTCTGGTCTATTTTCTGTCCAGAACAGAGATTGGGAAGAATTGACCACAGCTCCAAGTAGAGAGAGCGTGGACATCGAAACTCGCATAGACTGTGGACATGTCCTAAAAGTTGTCGTGAACACTGAGACACCAGAATGGTACTAATAGAGCAGGTCTTGAACATTCTCGAGATTCTGTATCCTAACTGAACCTTCCCATACAAACAACGCTTGCTGTCGTCTTACTGTAATAAACATTCCATAAAAAGAATTAAACTTGAAAATGACATGAAAACGGTTGACAAAATGTTGCATAAGTATTAGAAATACATTAAAGCAGCGTACTATCCAGAACTGCTTATTTACCAAAATTCCAACAAAACAAGAGCTTCACAGGAGACAGCAAAGCTCGAAATAACTAAAACGGACGCAGTAAAGGAGGACAAAACTAGTAAAGAAAAATCCATAGTATAATTAGTATAAGTATAGAAAAAAAAAAGGAATTTTGTAACATAATTCGCAAGATCAAAGGGGAATAATTCTAGAAATAGTCACCTAGATTAGACATTGCACACAACAGTGTGTAATGATAAGAAATATATATTTGAAGTTTGAAGTAGATACCTTAAAAAGTAAAGAAGTTATTATATTTCTTAAAGAAAATCCTAAGTTCAAAGACAGATAAATCTGTAAATATTGCTTCAAGAGTTATGAAACATTGTCACATAAAAATGTAATTGATGATAAGGAATAAGTAATTTGAAGTTTGAGGTAGATACCTTTAAAAATAAAAAAGTTACAATAAAAAATAACATTTTTCTAGTAAAAAAATCTAAGTTTATGGAGAGATAATTCTTGCAATATTGGTGGCTAGAGTTATGAACCTTGTCACATAAGATGTGGATGGTGATAACGTAAATATATTTGAAGTATAAGTTATCCCTTTAAAAATAAATAAGTAACAGTAAAAAATAATATTTTTTATGGAAAAATTCTAAGTTCAAAGGGAGCTAAATCAAAAATATTGTGCTAGAGTTATGAACCTTGTCACATAAGATGGGGATGATGATAACGTAAATATATTTGAAGTATGAGGTTGATCCCTTAAGAAATAAAGAAGAAAACAGTAAGAAATAGTATTTTTGAGGAAAATTCTAAGTTCAAGGGGAGATAAATCTGAAAATATTGGTGCTAGAGTTATGAACCTTGTCACATAAGATGGGGATGATGATAAGGTACATATATTTGAAGTATGAGGTTGATCCCTTAAGAAAATAAAAGAAACAGTAAAAAAATAGTATTTTTTAAGGAAAATCTAAGTTCAAGGGGAGATAAATCTGAAAATATTTGGTGCTAGAGTTATGAACCTTGTCACATAAGATGGGGATGATGATAAGGTACATATATTTGAAGTATGAGGTTGATCCCTTAAGAATAAAGAAGTAACAGTAAAAAATAGTATTTTTAAGGAAAATTCTAAGTTCAAGGGAGATAAATCTGAAAATATTGGTGGCTAGAGAGAACCTTGTCACATATACATGGGGATGATGATAAGGACATATATTGAAGTTTGAAGTGGAACCTAAGGAAGACAAAGTTATAGTGAAACGATATTACTGCACCAAACACTTTAATCTAAAATCTGGAGCGGACCGGAACGCCGACGCGGGCGCGAAGACAGGCTCTCCATATACTTCGTATGTCGAGCTAAAATGACTTTTACTTACGGATTAATCTGTGATATCCCATATTTTTATCTAATTTTTCATAATTTTCAGAGACTAAAGTAAAACAATTATTTACCCTCCAATGAAATAGTAGTATTGGGTACATCATCTGAAGTCCCCACAGGTAATGGCTTATCGGTTCATCACACTTCGCCTTCCTCTCTCGTGTCTTTCTGTTCTCGTTAGGCGAACACACCATACAAGGCTAGGCCAGCGGCAAGCTCTCCCTAAAACAAAGACACAAATGTGAAGTGTCATGTCATACTTACTTTTTATACTTTTATGTCATACCTACATATCATCATACTACAACTGATGTCAGAAACCTTGTGTGGTGTCTTACCTACATCTGATGTCAGAAACCTTTTTTGATGACATACCTACATCTGATGTCAAAACCTTGTGTGGTGTTCTTATCTAGATATGATGTCAGAAACCTTTTTTGATGACATACCTACAACTGATGTCAGAAACCTTTTTTGATGACATACCTACAACTGATGTCAGAAACCTTGTGTGGTGTCTTACCTACATCTGATGTCAGAAACCTTTTTGATGACATACCTACATCTGATGTCAGAAACCTTTTTTGATGACATACCTAAACTGATGTCAGAAACCTTGTGTGGTGTCTTACCTACATCTGATGTCAGAAACCTTTTTTGATGACATACCTACATCTGATGTCAGAAACCTTTTTTGATGACATACCTACATCTGATGTCAGAAACCTTTTTTGATGACATACCTACATCTGATGTCAGAAACCTTTTGTGATGTCATACCTACAACTGATGTCAGAAACCTTTTGTGATGTCATACCTAGATATGATGTCAGAAACCTTGTGTGATGTCATACCTATATCTGATGTCAGAAACCTTTTGTGATGTCATACCTAGATATGATGTCAGAAACCTTGTGTGATGTCATACCTATATCTGATGTCAGAAACCTTGTGTGATGTCATATGTTGTATGTACTCTCATGTCAAAAGTCTTGTGAGATGACAAAACCTAGTGTATAATGCCATACCTACTTGTGATGTAAGAAACCTTGTGTGATGACATACATTGTGTGATGTCAAAAACAGTGTTTAATGTCATACGAAATGTGTGTTGTAAAAAAAGTACAAGTATGGTATTAAAATTTTTTTTATGATCTTGCAAATGTATACATACTTTCCTTGGGGCATAACAGAGGACACAAAATGTGAAACTTCACTTTCAAAGTCATCATAATGAGCTAGTAATATCGAGAAAAGCCTTAAGATTCATTCTTTGATTTTTTTATTCTCAAAATTAAATTTTCTTGCTATAAATTTACTCATGACTATGTTTAAAAGTTTTAATTTTACAAATCATACAATATCAGCATATTCTTAAAGTCATATGATTAAGTAATAAAGCTAGATATTCCATTCAATTCACATTTGTATTAATTTCAATACCATATAAAAAGTCGTATACCCATAGAAGCCAAAATTGCCAGGTTCGGAATAGAGCCAGTGAGTACGGACTGGGTTCAGCGGGATGTACGGATGCACTCGCTCCCGGTCACCTTCTCCTCTAGATAATAAGAAATATGCGTAAAACAATACATAATGACGTTTATTATTGATTATATTCAAATTATTGTCTACCAAAATTCTCCAACAAATAAATAAGGAATCTGAAAAATGTTATAATTCATTTTGAAATAGAAATAATACTGATACATGATATACAAACCTTTCTTCTCGTGCACTCGTTTCTAGCCCCCTCTATCCTCTTTCCTCTTCATCGCAGCTTCTTCTTCTCTCTCTCTTGCTTTCTCTCAAGCCCTCTTCACTATAGTTTAAATAATAATAAAATAATGAAAGTAATAAAACAGCAAAAAAAAGTTAATGGGACACAGTTTTGTTTCTCTGTGTACAAACATTACATGCATATCTTATAACTAGTTGTTGGTCCCCGAGGAACAGATTCTAGAGTTTGTTTATATGCATAATGCTTATAGCTTCCTGTACAATCTAACTGAAATAAATTCTATAAATTAAAAAGTTCAGAAGGGGGAACATCACAACAAAAACACCATGTTGGTTAATATATCTATATCAACTATAAGTTTCAGGTAAAATATACCCATTATTGGTTAAAATTTTGTATAAACTAAAAAAATTGAGATTCAGTCAAGAACCAAAAAAATGAAACCACTTACCCTAAGTCTTGACTTGATACTTTGAAACTTGAATATCCTTGACTTAAGTCCTTTAATCTCAAAGGAATGAGCTTTTATCAAATTTCCCCTTTCCATCGGGCCCACTTTTCTCCTTTTTACCCACCCCCTTTTCAAAAAATTACAAGCACTTTTACCCTTGTTCTAAAAAGACATAAAGGGGAGAAAATTTTGGGAATATGAAAAAAAAATTTTTGGTAAGAGTTCTCGTTTTTTTAGCAAAGAAAAAAGGAAAATGCAGTACTTTAAATTTTATAAAGACATTCGGGATAGAAAAAAACTGACAATAAAATCTTTTAGCTATAAAATGTAAATGAAATTCATATCTCAGAATAATAGATAATGAATAGTTATAGTACTTACAAATTTGTCAGGAGACCATTGCACTTTTGTGACAGGTCCAGCAACCTTGGTGAAACCAATAGGCTCATAAGTCTTGCCAATATTCATGAAGAAAACTGTACCATCACTGCTCTGAAAAAAAAATAAAACAATGTCTTGTCATTGCTATAAAAATTTATATACACATGTACTTTAAAGCATATACATGTATTAGCAGATATCAGAATAACACTTTGAAATAATCAAAGATACAAATAAACTTTCAAATAATAGAAAACCTAAATAAAAAATGTCATTTAAATATATATGTTATATACATATAGATGCATAAATTGAAATTTTGTTTAAAGTATATACTACTCAAAGAAGTTTTTCAGCACTAAATGCAATCATAACTTGACTATGCAACTTGTAAAGAGTCAAACCAGCATGACCTAAGAAATATGCAGTCTGACCGGGTTCCATACTGTCAGGTGCTCAATTTTAGCTTATTTCGATATTGAAACCCCTAAAATCAACAAAAGACTGTTCTTAATTCAAAGCGAGTCAAGTACATTATCACAATATAGGGAAGTAACAATAAAATTTACCCCAGAAGCAAAGAACTTCTCCGCGAGCGCCATAGCAATAGATGTAACAGCTTTGCTATGAGGTTTGAATGCTTGTAGAAGTTCCATACTACAATTCATGATGCTTCTTTCTACGTGTCGACTCCTCGTCGATCTTTCCTATTGCCAAAGCTCTCACAACACCATCCTCAAAACCAACAATTACAGAACCACCCTTTGGATCAATCTGTTAAAATAAATAATAAAAGCATTAATTATTCAAACTTTTAAGCTTTAAACTTGTTTTCTGTGACAAAATACATTGTAAAAGGGAACGCAAAGCTATAGATTAATTTGCTCTTCCTTTGTTGCAAATAATTTATATCACATTTCAGTTTCTGTTTCACCTCTCTACATTAAAAATTTTTAAGGGGAGCAGTGGCCTAATGGTTAAGGTGTCTGCCTCTTAACCCAGGGATCATGGGTTTGAGCCATAATCGGGTCAATACCATGTTTCTTCATATGACACCAGTACTGGTTGGTTTCAGGAAGCTGGCTCAAAATTGTTTAATATATTAGTTGAAAGAACTTGTTTGTCAATCTAGCTTAAACAAATATGTTTTAACCATTAAAACTTTTCTATAAACTTACAATATTTGGAATCCACACAAGTGATGTTCCACCTGCAGCGAATCTGGTATCACAGATCTGCTTCTGCTGTACATAGTCAAATACACGTACAGTATCTATAAATAGAAATGTTTCGTATAAATACAAATTGTCTGGAGCATAAATATCTCTCTTCCATAGGATGAATAAAGAAGGGGTCAGTTAATTTCAATCAAAAATCTTTTTTCAACCAAGTTAAAAGCATTTTATGCACCTATGATTCTCATCATAACAGCTATTTCCTAAATGCAAAATATCAAGCAAATTGTTAATGGCACTACTAATAAGCAATGATTTGCTATTTCCTATTAGAACAAATGATCAGCAATACATGTAATTTGATATCCATATTCTTATTGCCATTGTATCACACTCTTGAGAATCAATGATATCTAACAGGATTGGTTTTAAGCAACTTTACAGCTTTCCTGGTGGAGGAAGTCTTTGAAAAGGTGCCTTTCTGTGTATTATTTTAGGCAAAAGAGGCACCTAAGAAGAAAAAATTTCTAATTTCTGGCAAGATAAATTTTATAATAACTTACGATCAGCTCCAGTGGTGGCAACCAGCTGTGATACAGGTGACACATCACAGGCATTGATTGTTCCAGCATGATATGTGAACATTTTCTCCGGAGCCATTGATGTGTGAGAGAATGATAAGTCAAGTTTCCATATACCTCCATTTGCATCCTTTAAAACAAAACAAATTTTTACCATGTATGATAAAAATTCATTTACCAATACATTTATTAAAAAAAGGCACAATCTTATCACATTCAAATTTCTTGTACAGGTATTTTTTATTGATATATATGTACTTAACATCATGTGAAAAACTATCCAAAACTGAAAAGCGTTGCAACACTTTTTCACTCTAATCTAGCTAGGAATAACACAAAATATGATATTTTAATTATTTCTGAGTATATTTCTTAATTATCATTTGCATATTTTTTCCGATAGAAGTGTCCAAGCTAATTTATGTAGAAATTCAAATTTTACACCTTTAGGCCTTGGACCTCAGTGGAGTTCCTTTAATCAGCAAAATTTTAGCATTAAAAGAGGTAGCAAAGATAATTACTTGCATATGCCACAAGCAAACTGCCAGGCCAGCCTGAACACTCAGGCTGTCTTATCAGAACCTATATAGTGTTGACTGCTCAATCATCACATTACTTACAATGACCAGTTTTGAAAATTCAAAGAAACTCGAGTGTTATACTAAATCAACTGTGCCAAGGCTAAAATATCTCTGTAAAAAAGTGGTTCCTCTTACCTGAGCATACCATATAGTTGGCTCATTTTCCGAGTCCACAGATTTGATGATGCTTTTAAGCTGCACATCATTGCCGACCTTGAGCTCATTCATGGGATCTAGTTCAAACATTCCTGTCTCATCTGTTGTATCAGCAGTGTCTATTGCTTCAAAATCCCACACCTATATGTATAGATTTAACAAATTAACTACAAAAAATCTGCACATGTTAGGTAGAACAATAGCATTTAAGGGAAAACTTGCTTATGGCGGTGCTATTACAAACCCATGTACAGAGTCTTATATTTGAGCTAAAGCAAAAATAATCACTGTTTCTTGTTTATATTCAACACTTTTTGTTTAAGTTTAAATGACATTTTCACAATACATTATTTGGTATAGATAATCATATTTGTCTCTTACATTTTAACAAGTGTCTTAATAAGTACTAGTTACAAGATTCAAATATATATATAACTTTTTTCATCACTCTCTGCATACATGTTTCTAAAACTTTTCTATATGAAAACTGTAGTTAATAAGCTTTTTGTTGTTCTTTGCCAATAACAGGCTTGTACGATTTGATCTTGGTACGGCTCTACTTTTTGCAAATTCTTTACAAGCTATATGATTAGTATTTCTTTTATGTAAAACTAAAAGTTCTTACCCTGATGTAACCATCTATTCCTACGGACATCAATTCTCCCTCATCTAGGAGTATCTGCTGTATAGCTCCAGTATGGCACGATTTCTTGTTCTTCATCCTTATCTCAACTTTAATAAGGCCTCCTTCCCACAGTAACATATTTCCCCACTCAGATCCAGACAATACCTTGCCATCAGGCAGTTCTACATAACCCTCGATATCTGTGATCTCTGTACGACCAAATTTACCAAGTTCTCCTTGTAACTTAAGACCAGTGAAGGTGTCCGCCATCTTCCAGAACCTAAAATCAAGAAAAAATATCATTTAACCCATTACGTTATATACACGCCTTTTTCACCCCCCCCCCCTTTTGTTGTCTCAAATGGTGAAAAAATGCCTTTAGGCCCCCAACACTTGTTTTTGTTTGAGAAATGTTGTTAAAAAAAGTGACCTCTTTTTCGGCGCGGCCCCCCCAACCAAAAGATACATCAGGGGGTTGCCAGAAGGGGGTTGTGCGCCCTTCTGTTTGGGGGGTTTGAAGGGGGGGCGGAGTCCCCCTCATCGCCAAGAAAATTTTGGACTTGTGAGAGGCTATAAATGACCCCAGATTGATCATAAGGTAACGTGTAACCAACGCTGAAAAGCATTTGACTCTATCTCAATCCATTGAGAAGTTGCAGCACTTTGAAATCAATTTTGATGGAAAAAATCAACGCAAAATAGTGATTTTTGGCAATTTTGAGATGTCCCCTCATTGCCATGGTAACAGAAAATTTAAGCCTGAGCATGTTGTTGCAAGGGCAATGGTCCAGTCAACATTTGTGCCAAGTTTGATTAGTGTTGAAGCAGTTTTTATAGTATTATAGCAATTTGAACTTGTAACGGGAGACTTTTCAATGAAAACAGCCATTTTTCACAAAATGCTCATGAAGTAATGGGTTAATTCATATATATGTATCATAAAATGAAAATGATTTTAGGTATATTCACTTGCCCTTTGTGATTCTAGTGCTATGCCTGGACATACCCTCCATTTCATCCATTTAATTACAGAGATTTAAATTAGTGTACTGACCTGCTTACTTCTTTTCAAAACCAAACTGATTTTCTTTCCATTATCAAAATATATTCCAAACAAAGTCCACCTTGAAGAAACTCATCAAATGATTGATTCTTTTTAATTTGTTAAACTGACCAATATTTTAATTTTGAAAATGCATCAAACCCCGTGTAATGGCCTTTAATCTAATACTTTTGACTGACCAATTATTTATTTGTCAATCTTTATCAACATTTGCTTACTTAATATGAACAGTTCCTGATGTAGTCAGCTGCCCGTCCAGTTCTGTTGAGAAAGTTGCTCGAAAAACATCTTGGGAAAAAGCCTTTGATCTCAATACTGTCTTCTCCTGTTTCCAGTCCCATACTGTCAACATAAAGTCAGGATCACCACCTTGTGTTGCAAGTAGGGTACCATCAGGACTGTAACAGAAATATAGCTACTATAAACTTTCAAACTGCAAATTTAGTATCTATCTTGTACGAACAATCAATTTTGAATAAATACTTATTATCAAATAAACATCAAAAGCTTTAATCTCATAAAATAAGGATTAATTTGATAATTATAGCAACAAAATCTATGATGCTGCTTATTTCTCAAATGTTAATTATTTCTCCAATAAACAAAACTTTCTACATAATAATTCCTGTAGTGATGATAACATAAATGTCATCACACATTCAGTAATAGCACAATTCATTAGAAGTCTCAAATGAAAAGAATACAAACAAGAGGGCCATGATGGCCCTGGGGTCGCTCACCTGAACATAGGCCCCCAGGGCCGGGCAAGTTTAAACTAAAGGGCTTTTATTTCAACAAACTTGGAAGACACCCATTAGAAGATATTTCATGATCATATAACTGTTAAGTTTTTACTATACACAAATAATGAATAACAATGACTTTCCCCCCCACCTCCCCCTGGCATGGCCAACTTTAACCCAAGGGCTTTTATTTGAACAAACTTGGTAGACACCCATTAGAACATGTTTCATGCTAAATATCTTAGCTCTAGCTCTTTGGGTTCTTTAAAAGAAGATTTTTAAGTATTTAATTACTATATGCAATATAGGGAAAATCAATGACCCCCTAGGGCGGGGCCAATTTTGACCCAAGGGCTTTTATTTGAACAAACTTAGTAAACATCAATTAGAACATGTTTCATGCTAAATATCTTAGCTCTAGCTCTTTGGGTTCTTTAATAGAAGATTTTTAACTTTTTACTCTATGTATATAGGGAAAATCAATGACCCCTGGGACTGGGCCAATTTTGACCCCAGGGCTTTTATTTGAACAAATTTGGTAGACACCCATTAGAACATGTTTCATGCTAAATATCTTAGCTCTAGCTCTTTGGGTTCTTTAAAAGAATTTTTTTAAGTTTTTACTATATAAATTATATGCATATAGGGAAAATCAATGACCCCCTGTGGCGGGGCCAATTTTGACCCCAGGGCTTTTATTTGAACAATCTTGGTAGACACTAATTAGAAGATGTTTCATGCTTAATATCTTAGGTCTAGCTCTTTGGGTTCTTTAATAGAAGATTTTTTTAAGTTTTTACTATATGCATATAGGGAAAATCAATGACCCCCTGGGGCGGGGCCAATTTTGACCCCAGGGCTTTTATTTGAACAAACTTGGTAGACATCCATTAGAACATGTTTCATGCCAAATATCTAAGCTCTAGCTCTTTGGGTTTTTTAAAAGAAGATTTTTTTAAGTTTTTACTATATGCATATAAGGAAAATCAATGACCCCCTGGGGCGGGGCCAATTTTGACCCCAGGGCTTTTATTTGAACAATCTTGGTAGACACTTATTAGAAGATGTTTCATGCTTAATATCTTAGGTCTAGCTCTTTGGGTTCTTTAAAAGAAGATGTTTTTAAGTTTTTACTATATGCATATAGGGAAAATCAATGACCCCCTGGGGCGGGGCCAATTTTGACCCCAGGGCTTTTATTTGAACAAACTTGGTAGACATCCATTAGAACATGTTTCATGCCACATATCTAAGCTCTAGCTCTTTGGGTTTTTTAGAAGAAGATTTTTTAAAGTTTTTACTATATGCATATACTATAGGGATAATCAATGACCCCCTGGGGGCGGGGCCAATTTTGACCCCAGGGCTTTTATTTGAACAATCTTGGGAACATGTTTCATGCCAAATATCTAAGCTCTAGCTCTTTGGGTTTTTTAAAAGAAGATTTTTTTTTTAAGTTTTTACTATATGCATATAAGGAAAATCAATGACCCCCTGGGGGCGGGGCCAATTTTGACCCCAGGGCTTTTATTTGAACAATCTTGGTAGACACTTATTAGAAGATGTTTCATGCTTAATATCTTAGGTCTAGCTCTTTGGGTTCTTTAAAAGAAGATGTTTTTAAGTTTTTACTATATGCATATAGGGAAAATCAATGACCCCCTGGGGCGGGGCCAATTTTGACCCCAGGGCTTTTATTTGAACAAACTTGGTAGACATCCATTAGAACATGTTTCATGCCACATATCTAAGCTCTAGCTCTTTGGGTTTTTTTAGAAGAAGATTTTTTAAAGTTTTTACTATATGCATATAGGGAAAATCAATGACCCCCTGGGGCGGGGCCAATTTTGACCCCAGGGCTTTTATTTGAACAATCTTGGTAGACACTCACTAGAAGATGTTTCATGCCAAATATCTAAGCTCTAGCTCTTTGGGTTTTCTAGAAGAAGATGTTTAAAGTTTTTTCTTTTGGTTGCCATGGCAACCAGAGTTTTGCATGGAATGGAATTCTTTGAACAACTTTGTTAAGGCTTCACACAAGGAACATCCCTGTGAAGTTTCATTATGATCTGCCTTATGGTTTCAGAGGAGATGTCGTTTGAAAAGTGTGAACGGACAACGTACGACGGACGACGTACGACGGACGACAGACGACGGACGAAGAGTGATCCTAATAGCTCACCCTGAGCATATGCTCAGGTGAGCTAAAAAGAACAACAACAACAAATACAATTTCAAGGTCTTACTTGAAATCAATGAAAGAGTAAGATCTTTCTGTTCCACCTCTCAAAACCCTGTATAGTTTTAGACTGGGCCACTCAAAAATATTGATGTTTGGACCTTGTCCTTTCTCAGCCACAGCGAAGAAATTCTTGCTTGGATGAACCTGAAAATAGAGGGTTAACTCTTTGGAAACTAGTGGTAATAGTGCCGAAAAAAATTCTCACACAACACAGGGGCGGCAAATGAATTGTCCATTTTGCCTAGATTGTCCAAAGGCATTTAAGACAAGTGTAAATATTCAATATTTTACTATAAATATCATAAGGACAAGTTAAGGAATGCTTCAGATAAAAAAAAGAAAGTCAAAATCAGATTTTGCCGGCCGTGGACCAGCTATATCATGCTTTGCTACTTTAACCACTGCCATCACTTATAAAGAAACATGTCAATAGGTTTATCATGTGTCCAAAAATGGTGCCATTTAAATACTTTCAAACTTTTATAACATATTGTTTTTTTACATTTATTTTTTACTTTTTTAAAGAATTTTATGTATACTTACTGTAATTGCACCAATACCCCCTCCACTTGTACTACGGATAAACGTCTGTTCCTTTGTCAGTAAATCAACAATCTGGACAAGATTACCTGCGGCAAAGACCACAGTTTTCTCATTCAATAAATGAAGATTTCCTCGCTTTGTACAATCATAACCAAATGAATGTCTGAATTTCTTGTAAAGGAGAAATCACTTGTTGACCGTGTTGGCTTGTTTTAATTTTTTATTGGGAAAGAAGTCACATCAACACTGTAAAGGTGACATATAACAAGCAGGCACCTGAGTAGAAACATCACTAACAAGCCAGCTAGGATTATGATTTCTTACATGAAAGAATCATAGGGACATAAGTGATTTTAAATTGGCACCCTTAACCAATTGGTCATGGAGACCCCTTATCCGCAATTGCAAAAATATATTTTCACTTATTTTTATCATTTGAATCTAACTAATTATCTCATTAAAACAGAACCTAACAACTTTCAATATAAATCAATTATAACAGCAAGGTTTGAGATGAAAGGATACTGTAAAGTCAACAAGTCTTCTGGTAAACCAGACTCTGCTGTGATGGTTGGTCGTGATGCAAAGTTTTCATATTCATAGTAAAAATCATCAGGTATTTTGGGCTCTTCTTCTTTCTTCTCTTGTTCCTCGTCCCCTTCTTCACCTTCACCTCCCTCTTCTGCTATAAATAACACATATTTAAAATGTTAAAAAATATATATTTATCAAAAGCAAATCCCAATCATACTATGAAATTGTTCAGAAACTCATTTCATTTAAAAGTTCAATCTTATAATTGGATTATAAATAAAAAATTTATTAGATTTTTAAGTCAATTTCATCTTTTACTATCATTTTTCATTAATTTTTAAGCAAACAATCTGATAAGAAATTGGTACCTAGCAAAGCTCAATATGCAGTTGTACAATACAAACAACGGTACTTTAAAAATGTGTATCATCATATGAATCAATACCTTGTTGGGTGGTTTCTGCAGGTTTTTGTTCGGTAGATTCTTCCTTGGCCTCTTTCTGTTCTTCTTGTTGACCCTCTACTTTCTGTTTAGCAGCCTCTTCAGGTTTTTGACCACCCTCTGTGACCTCTTGACCCTCTGCTGGCTTCTGTTCTCCACCTTCTTCTGGTTTTTGAGCTCCATCGGTCTCCTCCTTACCCTCTGTGGCCTGTTGTTGTTCACCATCAGCCTGTTGTTGTTCACCCTCGGTCTTTTGTTGTTCACCCTCAGCCTTTTGTTGTTCACCCTCAGCCTGTTGTTGTTCACCCTCAGCCTGTTGTTGTTCGCCCTCATCAGGTTTTTGAGCACCATCAGTTTTATCTTTACCTTCAACTTCTGCTTTCTCTTGCTCTTGACCTAAAAAATATTGTTCCAAAAAATGAATGTTAAACCTCTATCTGATAATCATGGCACAATATTTCAGAATAATCCATATATTATTTTGGAACAATTTACAGAATTTTTTTTAACTTGTATATGTATCATTAATTTTACAATAGAATATCTTTAAGGCTAGTAAAATGCTATGAAAATTTGCAGAAAATTTATATTGCAGTAACTACTGCGCAAATATGATAAAGCTAATTAATTGACTAAGGCCACAGAAAATTAATTTTTAGACTCTCATCCTCGCCCGCCCGTATCAAAATCTTTCCGCTCCAAAATAATTTATTTTCATAAAAAAAAATTGTTCATTTCGCAGACGTCTGTGGACGAAAATTCGTCCAAAAATCGTGGTTGAATATTCGCGGGACGAACGCATAAAAATCAGACTGAGGTTTACAGCGTCTAGTGATCAAGATTTTAGATACGTTCGTTTTCGATCAGTAAAATTGTCAAAATGTTCGTCATATGTGAAATATATGATGCAGTAAACAAGAAAACTGTTTGTGAGTCAGGTTTGGGTTTAGTTTTGATCAAAATCTGGGTGGAAATTATGCGAAGTTCTTACAACAATTAGTATTATTCTCATTAAAATATAGATTTAAACACTTTTGTTTATTCATACATTTCTGTTTTTTCAGGTCTTAAAAGTGATGGATAAAATAAATTATAAATTCCACCCACCCGCCCCAATTATTTCTTGAAACCTGGATGAGAGTCTAAAGATTAATTTTCTATGGCCTAATACAGTTCTTCATACTTTTTTCTATATCTACAAGACTTTAAGACAGAAGAGAATACTTTTTTTAAAGAAGACATTTCCATTCCCAATAAGTTCTGCTTTTATCTCATTGTACATATTCCAAAATGTTTACTTTCCTTTTTCAATTATACTTTCAATAAATTCAATTATATATTCAATTAAAAGGCATAGTCATATTTTTTTCAATGCTTTGTCTTCTCTTCAAATATGTTGCAATGTATAAAATCAAACTACCTTCAGCAGCAGTGGCCTCAGTCTCAGGAGGTTTCTCTACTTGTTGAGATGTCTCGGCAGGCTTTTGTTCAGTTGATTCCTCTTGTTTCTGTTCTTCAGTTCCAGAAGCATCGGCTGGTTTCTGCTCTTCACTCTCTGAAGGTTTTTGTTCACCAGCATCTGCTTGTTCTTGGCCTGTACTTTCAGCTGGCTTCTGTTCAGTCACATCTTCTTGCTTATCAGTATCTTCTGTGAAGTGAATTTAATATTTTTTAGTTTACAAAATGCTTTACATGGACTATGAACATGATACAGTATATAGATTTAGCAATCTATGTAATAACTGCAGCTACATGGTTTAAACATATTTATTTAAGCTTGATTATGAAACAAGTTCTTGCAACTTATATTAATCACTTTCAAGTCTGCTTCCTGGAACCAACCACTGGTGTCATATGAACATGGCCATGACCAAATTAGGGCTGACACCCATGATCCACTAGGCCACCGCTCTACATTTGTAGATGGACATGCAAATCTGATTACTGAATATTAATATAGATGCTTAAAGACAAAAAATTATTTAAATCTATATTTCATTGCAGTAACTTTTGATACAACAAAAATAGTTGATTTTTTTTATTTGTAAAGTAATAATATTTTTAATAGAACCTGGTTTTTGATACAATGTTTCAGAAATAGTCCTCACCTTTTTTCTCTTCCTCTTGTTTTACAGAACTATCTTCTTGTTGAGTTGTATCCTCTTCACTAGCTTGTTGCTCTGTTGGCTGTTCATTTTCAGGCTGGTTTTCTGTAGTTTGTTGAGTTGGCTCTGTGTTTTGCTGCTCTGTGCCTTCCTGAGTCTCTACAATAAATTCAAGGGATAAAAATTTATAATCAACAATAGAATTTTGAACTGAAAGCATTAATTGTTGTCTATATTTTAAAAGCTATAATTGAATTCATTATTTTGTTTAAAAATTTCGGATGTTAATGTTACATGGTTTGCCTTATTTATATACAACATGTATTTTAACTATCTATTATAAGAAATAATGAAAGAAGTACAGGAATGGTGAAAAACATAATTTTTCACTATTTCAAAAGGTTATAATGACCCATAAATATTCTGACTTTTCACACTAAAACAATGATCAAAAATTTCATCTCAGTTGGCCCTGTTGAATATCTTTCCCAGTTTTTCTTATGAATAAAAGTTATATGAAATTCTGTATTTTCTGAAGTAACCAGAATTATACTATGTGAATATTTTATCAAAGTCTTTAGTGCCTATTTAATCTTGTATCTTATCAATAGTCTCTTAGCCCACCTGGCACAAGAATCAGGGCACTTGAGGGTATATGGTAAAATATATATGAACATATTTACTGCCTTTCTTTCAAAATATTTACACAAAAAGTAGATTAATTAGAAACAACACAATTGATAATCTTGTATTAAATGTATCCATGTGTGGCCGTTGTAATATGAGACTGTTTATATAAATGTATACATGCGCATGCTTAGTAGTCCAACAGATCTTGTTAAGAGTTTATCTCTAGTATTAAACTTGTAGTCATAGAACACACTTGTGTCTCTTATTTCTCATTAGAGTTATACAATGTCTATTTGTGATATACTCACATACAAAACCATATAACATTACAGCCGTAATATGTAACTCCACGCAAATTTTTATGGTACTACATGTTGTTTGATACACTATAATTATTATTCTATGCTCTAAATTTTTTTCAGATACATAAAAGTTACTTTGATGTTAAAAAGAACCTGTGGTTTTTTTACTGACATTTAAAGAGACCTTTACAGATTTCGTGAAAACTAGGACTATAATAAAACCATAATGCGATGTCACTTGCGCATCACTTCCGGTTCAGGTCAGCCACCACTATTGGGATTGAAGGGCAGCTACCACTACAGGATTATAAATTCATATCAGGACGCCTGGCTGACAATGATTGCTTACAATTCACATCATCCTAGTCCTTGAGCAATCATAATTCAACATCCTATTTAAGCATTTTTCCAGTGCGGATTTAAAGATTTTAACTTTATATTTCTCCTTGTTGATAATACATAGAATAACAAGTTTTGAAGGAATAAATAATAAATCTCAAGGTAAGTTCTCATGAATAAGGCCTCTCATGGGCCTTAGGACAAGCAAAATATTGTGAATTAAAGACAAATAAGGCAACATATTGTGCCCAAATGCTTTTTGTTATGCTTATGTTTTGTTATTGCTGTCCTTCACAGAAGACATTTATGTGATGTTGGTTTGCAGTCTGTGTCTCAACAGAGTCAAAATATATTTTTGAGACTTCTGAGGTCAAATTTATTGCCAGTATTGTACAATATTATAATTCTGGACAATAAAAAATGCCCGATAATTAAAAAGTTATTTAAGAAGCATTTGCTCAATGGGGCAAACAAACTCAAAAAAAAAAGACAAATTGAGGCCAAGCTTTTTAAGCAAATCATAAAAATAAAGTTCTGTTAAGGCTTGACACAGGTTTTGTGCATCTACTTTCTCCTTGAAAAGATCGAAATCAATTCATCTGTCAATGACATGTTCTGCATCTTAGTTTTATTGGTATTTAATACCCTTAAGTGATTTTACAGGCAGAGTGGACTTTCAAGTTCAGCAGAAAAAAAATCATTTTTCAAGTGTCACGAGTGTTCTATAAGGCCAAGAGGGTTCTTTTCCCTGTTTTGAGTATCCGCTTGGATTCATAAACGGCAATATACAATTTACATTGAGGTGAAGGATTGTAGTTGAGCAATACCTGGATTATTAGACTCAGCAGGCTGTTGTTCCTCTCCGCCGTCCATTTTGGATAAGCAACGTCGTTGCTATGATACTTGCGCATGCGCAACTTAAAATTTTTCTTGCTATACGACTAAATATTATTTTTGCGGTCCTCTATCAGAGGCTATTGAATGTTTAAAACTGAACGAATTAATTGAATAAAATTATATTATGCGTCTGGTGTCAACTCCATGAAAAATATTTCGATCTTACATGCTAAACAAACAAATATCCTCTATATGTGTGTCATTAAACAAAACGAAAAACATATTTCAAAAAAATATTAACTTGTGCAAACCATTAATTTACCCGTTCAAATTTACATTTTCGCATGCTATTGTAATATGATTGAAAATAGAATTCTCTGAAAAGCGGGGACGCACCATGTATGCTGATTTCTTAGGCTGTGTCCCTTATATACAATCTGTTATTTATTCACAAGATGATGGCGAAATAAAGTAGGGAAATACAACCCACTTTCAGGGATTCATGGAACAAAGGATTATCAATTAACACATAATATAATATATAATTGTTTTTCTAACATTAATTAAATGCGTTTGAAACACTAGCAACCATGAAAAGGCGCACAACTGGAGTACCATACGCCATACATATAGAATGGATAAATGTCGCTGAATTTTCGCTTTGACACTGTTACAATACCCGAAGTAGTTGGTAGACATAGGACATTTAACTTTGTCAATTTTGATAGGTAAAATGGCTTTTATTTGTGAAATGAAACGTGTTTATAAACCTGTACGCTTTTATTCGTCACATATAAGTCGAAAAGTTTTGCACTTTACTCTCTCGAAAATACATTCTGTTGAGTCACGGATTTATATAACAATTGTAATATAAATCCGTGGTTGAGCTGAGAGAAAAAAAAGTAGAAGCCAAGTCGAAAAACGGTTTTAATTTTGGAAAATGATTTACAAAAATTTTAGAATAAAAAAAGCTTAGTACAATAATACCTTTTTTTTCAAAATTTGTATGCATACTGACGGCACCGGAAATCGCACACCTGATTTGAATCGAAGCACCAGTATGCTAAAGGTGTGCGTTGAGCAGGCGTATGTTTTAATTACGAATTTGTTCGAGTCATTGATACATGTACATTGTATATTGAACATTTGCCCTATTGCTGCAAAGATAACCACTCGTATATATACGTAATTTGTGAAAAAAGCAGACTCAATTTTATTGAGTAAATTTATTCATGAAAAGTTCAACTCAAAGGCGTCATATAGTACATACCCCGAGTTCTATTGTGGAACGCCTTCACCCGAATGATACCCAAAAATTTCTGTATATATGCTGGAACATACGATACGTTATAGTACATCCCAGATATATGTATACATAGAGGATATTGAATGAGTGTAGGTTTAATACTAAATTTATTGAACGAGTTGAATAAAATCATATTATGCGAGCCTCTGGCGAGCATAATATTGTTTTATTCAACGAGTTCAATAAATTTAGTATTGAATCTACACGAATATAATATTCTATTTATTACATATATAAAATAAGAACGGTAAACTGTTAACAAGAGTCATTTTTCTTTGACGCGCCTATAGTGTAACGCTAACATTAGCGCGCTTTAACGCTATGTTTATAGTGCAAATGACGTGACGTCAAAGTGTTATTACACTAGTGTAATATCGTCTAGTGTAATATCGTTTTTATTAAATGGCTTTATTACACTCCTGCGCCGCGGTTTATGTGATAAATCAAATTATCCACAATGAAGTTATATTTTTAATGTAAGCAGATACGCAGTCATTAATTGTCATTTATATATATCATTTAACATGACCCTTGATTGGAAATATTCAATACCCAAGTTTTATTGCGTTACAGACCCATCGTGCCTCAGAAATGCTATCATATTCTTTAAAACTTTTTTTATTTTTGGTATCTTGTTGCAGTTTCTAAAAAATAATCATTTTCCATATACATAAACTTTTTTTGACTTTGTTATGCAATTGGTATGGTAATAGTGAATTAGCATTTTGTATGGAAGTCAAAATTATATAGTACTTTGTTTACATTTTGCTAACTTTATGAAGCATTGTTCTGCCCTTTAAATATCTAACATGCTCTTTATCAAAACATTATCAAAAACTTGTTTGACATTTAGTATAAAAAGAGATATGGATTTCTGAAGCATAATATACAGTATCGCGCAATAATTATCTTTTATATATTTCAATTTCTAAGGTACAGTGTATATATTCCATTTGCAATAGTTTAACACATCTGCAGATGTTTCTAAATACCATATTTTACCATTTCATGGTAAATGTTGAATACTGCCTTTTAAAGCCGGTGCTAGGGGGCGTAGACGGTACTATGAACAGAGCCTGCACCAGTTTAGAGAGGTTTTAAGAGATTCTTTATTACACTAAAATATTTTTCACATATAATCTCGCCATAAACGCAATTCTTTGAAGTGTGTTTATATTTATCGTGATGTTTTCATTACTTATTAAATATTTCTTTTTCTTCCTCAGTCGTGCATTTTTTACAGTATAGCATGCGACGTGTACTTGCCTTTGTATGTCAACAATGATTTTCTCGAAACGGACTATAACACGGTATTTTCCATTCTGATTGGAATTTCAAAATCCATTGCTAAAAATAGATACACCTGTTCCATTACCATCGGCGGGAAAACCCGTAGCAAAAATTTAGGAAGATTTGATTGGCTATTTTTGGTCACATGTCTATTGGGAAAGTCCTGAATGCCATTTTGTTGCTGCGTGGAAACACGAAATATGGGATTTTTGAAACAAGAATATCTTTTTGGATTTAAGGATTTCTGAATTTACATGTATATAATTCAATGACTGTGTATACAATTGTTAAATAATGAACCAAAGGAACCAAAAGAAAATGGACAAGAAAAAAAGTAAAACTGGCAAAAAGAGAAAAAGTATGCAGGAAAACGACACGGCCGAGCGGAGCCAGAGGAAAAACCAAAAACTGCAGAGGTCATGAACGAAAAAGAGAAACAAGACCGACTAGAAGCGGCGAGTGTTTTGTCATCTTTAATGTTTTTCCCTCCTAAATCATCTGAAGAAAATGATAATTCGGAGAATGGGGGTAAGGATGACCTAGTTACGCCCTCTTCCTCGGTGACCCAGATTTCATTGCAACCAACAACGTCTGGAATTCCCGCAACGTCACAGCATACATCTCTCGTGCTACGTGGGGGTGGAAGCCCAGCAGAAAATGCAGCCAAACTTGAAAACAGTATGATTTTAGCACAATTGCAGAATCAGTTGTCTCTTGCATTGAAAAATAAAATGTGAATCCAGTAGTACAACCGCAAACGCATCCTGCATTTGCACCAATAATTCTTTGATAGTCCGACCAAGTTTCCTATCTAAAAAAGTGTAGCAAATGACAAAACTGATTCTCAGAATGTTCCTTTGACTGTTTTAAAACAAACTCTCACTGTTAATAAAAATGTTGCAAAAGCCACTGAGGCAAGCAGTGTCTAATAACAAACTGAAATCTGAATTGCCCTCTGCGGAGGGTTTACAGGTGAAAACGAGTGAGAATTTAACTGATGAAGTTGCTTCTCATAATGAGCAGGAGAAAATGGACTGTGAATCTCTTGCATCTGGCAGACTTAATGGAGGAACCGATAATAATCTTCCATTGAAAAAGCGTAGACTGATCGGAATGAACAATGAGTCTTTGACTACCTCAGATCTAAACTTTGGTTCAAGTGCAAACTTAGACACATTAGCATCAGCCCGACAGATAGAAAATATTCTCCAGATGGCCAAAGATTACCCAGCTTCATCTGCTGACTCGGCACTGAGCTTAGTGACAAGTTTAACACAAACTAAATTACAAGAAGGTAAAAGAAAATATGGTATATGAATCATACATCATACATTTATAAATTTCTGCCCTGGTTTTACTGTAAAATTAAAAATGTAGCTGGTAACATGATACATGCAATACATACATTTGAATGGCACAAAATACCCTAAACAATGAACAGATGAACTTAATAGTATTTTAAATTAAATGCTGATACAACTTGTACAATAATATTTTATAATTATTGCACATATATTATAGAGTTTATAGATATTTTGTGTAGTGATGATAAGAGGACTAAATTTTAAAGCATACTGGTTTGGGAGATAAACTCGGCCGAAAATCAGTGTTTTGAGGGCATATTTCATTTATTTGTTTACGTATTCTGATGAATCTTGCACCATAATAAACTTCAGCTCATCGATTTTCCGGTATCACCAGAAAAGTTATATTTAGAAACATAACGGGTAATTTTGAGAGGCCCTGGAAGAGGTACGTAAAAAGGATATTTTTAACGCGCGCGAGTAGATAATTCCGGCTCTTTGTTTTTCTTCTTAAATAAGTAGGTTAAAACGTAAAATAACATTTTTAGACATTTCATTATTTATTTGCTGTTCATTAATGTCAAATAAAAAATATTTGTTACCAAAATTGTTGAGCATTACATGAGTATAAATTAATGAATATCTATGATAACACGATGTTTATATGCAACGTACTATGTAACATTTAAATCATTTTTACGTAAAAACACATGCATTATCATTTATTAACGTATAACGAAATATGTAGTTAAAGAATTAGTGATTCAAATTTATATTTGCTTAGCTTAACAGAGTGCAGAAGAAATTAATTTAGTGGTATTCAACCTACACAATAACATATAAAAGGAGCATTTAACATCAGTCTTTCAATCCATTCCACTTAAAGATTACAATTGTGTAATCAGCCTTTTTCTGAGTTAGCAAGACAAAAATGAGTCTGAATTTCATTTACAAAATGTATGCGTAAACGTCGTAACCTTTACCGGTAGTCGGTCAATATATAAAAGTACCCCTGTGCGGGCCTTAAAATGAGCATCTGCTGCACATGCGCACAACAATGGGATTCCCGTACTTTTTATAGGCATGTTTTGTAAACAAACAGGTAAAAGTTTGTGTAATTTTTTAAATATCTTACCAAACTTGACAAAATTTCCAGATATTGTCGAATTCCAGCGATAGTATGAGATGGTGAGCTTGATTAGATTAAAAATTCCGATAACTCGATTTAATTATAAAAAGCCGAGTTTATCAACCAGCCGAAGTTATCTCCCCAACCAGTATAATTAGATAATGATAATTTATTTATTATATAATGTTAACTATGATACATTGGTATTACTAAAATGAAAGCTTTATTAATAATTTATAGGTGCATACATTACAATACTAACTGTATTTAACAAGTATCTATTGGTTATTCCATGTTTATCTGATAGTTACTCTGATTTGATGTAAAAATTTGGTCCAAATTGATCCGGTAAACCATATGTTTCTAAATACATTTATAGTTTTGGCCTCCCAGTGTCGGATCCCTGTATTCCCTGATTATTGAATGTTAATCATAAATGTAATGTTAAGGAACAATTTGTTTTTTAATTAATTTTACTGACTGACCTCTGAATTTATATCTGTCCATTTATTTGTTAACTTAATGTTATGTTGAGGTCGGAGTTGTTTAATATTGAAGTTCTTAACTTTAAAGCATGTATAGATAGACTGGTCATTATGGTATTAATGTAACACAACATGTTCTAGATATTTCGGTTCAAGATTAATCTACACCTGCTTCGAGGTCATGTGTGTCATGAAAGTCCGATTAAAATTGAAATGAAGAAAACACACAATCATTGGTTAGACAATGTTTGCATTTTGATGCAGAAAACCATTAAATTTCAATCATAAATAGATTTATGTTATTTTTAAGGGAATATAACTATATTTATCCAAATTGATCAATATGATGTTTTGCATGTTATGAACTACTATGTATCCAAGTCTCAAGTCTTGAAAGTTTGAACTTGTTTTTTTTATTGAGATGTTATTTGTAATAATAGATATAATAGAAATGTATATATGGGCCCCTGGCACATGAGTCACGCCATGATGTAATTGCAAATTATAAATGCATGTCAAAATTACTGGTATAAATCAGTTTTCACTAACTGTATTTTATTGCACTTATCTAGATATCTATAAATAATTGAAACAAGTGTTTATTATGACTTTATATGGTATTCCTTTTATCCTTCATATATAAATACTGGTGAGGTTCTTTTTTTTTTCTGAAAATATATTTAAAAAAGATCAGAAAACAATTTGATCTTTTAACTGTATTAAATTTAAGACTGGTAAAAATTGCAATTGTATATCAAGTTATAATAATTATACATGTACTTATTATAATCTGACAGTATAGTAAAGCTTTTTCCTGATCTTTCAGGAAAAAGGAAGAAAAGATTGTTATTAGTTTTCTATGAACTACTTTCTGTTTTAAAATAGATGTATTTATTTTTATAAAAATCCCAGGGACTTCTTTCCTGTTTGGTTTGAAATTCATGGTGTGTGTGCACAGTTTTCCTTTTTGTTTAAATGCAATATTAGTTCAGCCATTTATTACTGACTTGTGCATAGAGTCATTTTTACCTTATCTGCATTGATTAATGGCTACTGGCCTACTGCGCATACAGTCACTAGTATATTAGCAATTTATATTTATGTAAACACCATGTACTATATTTAGATATTACGGATATAGTCTGTTTCAAAAAGATAACTGAATTAGTTTACATGTACATGTATAAATCATGTAACTTTGTGATGCTGCTGAAAAGTGCCCTCATATTATATTCAGTATATACTTTAACCTATTATTAATGTTAAAAGGTTGTACATGTAATATAGAAAGGTACATGTAAGATCCTGTAGATTTTATACAATTTTGAATAGTCTTCTACTATCACATTAGTTTTCTGAAAATAAGCAGAATATTTTTTTGTTTTCAATAGGTGCAGGGTACCGCCCAGTTCAGTTTGATCCACGTACAAGTCTGATGGTACTGTCTGACCTCAAGTTTGCTCTCACACCAGATGAAGATGGAGATTTGTAAGAAATTTTCAACCAAAAAAAAAAAATCACATGAAATAGTCTATTTATTTATTTACTGTGTTAATTAATTTGTGCACAACAATATTTGCTCCTTATGTTTATTATTCTCCACCCTGCTGAATTTGATTAATGAATTTGCCCACATTTTCTTTTGGAACCTCCACAGGCTGAATAACTTAAATGGACTTGTCCATCTTTCAATCAGGATGAAACCATTCATTATTATAAGAATCTTACACCGGCTGCCGGTACAGACCGGAATATCTAGCTCGAGGGTAACTGTTTACGGCGGTAACGAGGCTCTGCCGAGTTTCCGCTAAACAGTTACCCGAGAGCTAGATATTCCCGTCTGTACCAACAGCCGGTGTTTGATTCTTTTTCTTGCATATTACATGTCAATTATTTTCGGAACAGAAATTATGAAAACTGATATTCTCATCAGCACCTTTTTCATATAGTAGCGTATGAACTTACAACTTCATTCATAACGGAAAAATGACGTCATCCTAAGAACGCGATTAATTCATAAAAGTCGCGCGTCAATGACGTTATTTAATGCACGCGACTTGTCTTACATGGGGGGTGTAAGACAGAGTTTTCTTGCACCGGTGTAAACGGTAGATAATCCTGTCTGAGATGCAAGAATAAACCACTCGTCCATGGACACCCTGCCCCCACCCCCCCATCCCAGCAACATTTTGTAATCATATAAATAATATTTTTCAGACCAATCCATATAGCTGTTGTACATGAAAACATAGACTTGGTGAAGAAATTCATAGATATTATGGCAGTGTCGGGAAAAACCGTGGATAGATTTAACAAACTCCAGCAGGTATATACATGTAATGTAAATGAAAATACAATGTTGTGACTGTTATTGTCAGTAGAACTCTTTGTGGAGAGGAGATCAGAGTAGATGGGTGGATGTAGGGGATGCTATGGAGTTAAAATATGTTGACAGGTTATGAGGTTATGGTTATAAGGTTAAAATCTAGCACAGACATGCAGTGTAACTTTTTCCACTGTCTTTATATGACTTGAATAGTCTTAGTTTGGCTTGCAACCCGACCAAAAATTGAATAGTGTGGTCATATACTTCTCCCTGAATTTAAGTATGAACTGTTTTAGATTCTTAATGGTTCTTCAGCAAGGATATAATAACTTGAAACACATTGAAGAATGCTTGTTTATTAAAGTGGTACTTGACTGAATTCATTGTAAGCTGTAAAACAATAAATCAGTAAAAGATTTGATAAATATGAAGTAATTTACATGTAAATTATTATAAATAATGCATAAACTTTTTGTTTTTCAGACACCACTGCACTTGGCGGTGCTAGTTAAAAGACCGGAGATTGTATCTGCACTTCTGATCGCTGGCGCGAACCCCAATCTCCTCGACCGTCATGGCTATACTAGTGTACATATATCGGTGCAAAAACAACAACCGGAATGTATGGAAACTGTGTTCAGAGATTCCAAATTCCCAGTCAAACTCAATACAAGAGACTATGAAGGTAAAAGTAGAGCAATTTAAGGACAATTACAATCTGATACTTGTCTGTAAAGTAAGGTCAAGTATAAAGCAATGCAATCATTGATTCATTCCAAAGCATATGGATGCATATGCATATCAGTGGTTATTATTAGATTTAGTTATCTGTACTTTTTTTTCTCATAAGTTTTTGTAATTCCAGTAAAATAACATGTTCTGCCCTTAAATTTTTTAATTTTCACGTGAATCGTTGATAAATTCCTTCTAGATGTGTTGTTGTTTTTCCTGTTAGACCATCTTTCATCATCACTGCTATGAAGTATGTTCAACAATGTAGTATTTTAACATTTTCATTTGACATGACACATGCTTCTAATTATGTTTTGGAAGAATTTTTGTCATTTCTTGAAATCTTATTTATTAGTCAAAACTGTGGGTTTGAATCCCACCAGAAACTTTGAATTATTTCATTTAATTATGATTAAGCTATCCAACCAGTACATTGTATATTTTAAGTTGATTGTTCTACTCAGGTTCCGATTGTTTTACTCAGGTTCTGGCATTATTGCCTGAAGTAATGCAGAGAGGAGCTCCTGAAGTTTCTATTCCTGGGCATATTATATTGAAGGCATCATGACATTATTGTCATTTTATGTTTACAGAAACAATTTATGTTTACAGGATATTACCCTTTGCATACTTGTGTGGAGCTAGATAACTTAAAAATGATGGTTGCCTTGATTAAGAAAGGAGCTGATATGGACTGTCAGGTAAGATTGAATATTTTTAGCCCCACTTTATGAAGAAAAAAATGTTGAGCTATTGCCATGACCCTCTTGTTGGCATTGGTTAACCTCTTCATTATGAAAGTCATGCCTCTGGGGTCAATAATGGTCCTGCCCTTGGGGGTCATTTAGTTTACACAGACTTGTATAGTAACAATGTCTTGAAAACTCTTCTCTGAAAGTACAATGCCCAGAGCTTACATGTTTGGCGCTCTACAAAAGTTAACTAATCATGCCCTTGTTTTAAAAAATGCTCCAGCTCTACAGGACACTTAATTTTTACACAGACTTATTTTGATATTGAAATCTCTTGAACTTTGAATGGACTGTTGCAAATTCAAAACCAGGCAGATCCATTATAAAAATATAGCATGTTTAGGGTTATATAATGATATATTATAAATATATTACAGGATGGAAAGGCAGGTAGAAGTGTGCTTCTATATGCTGTAGAGTATAACAGATTAAGCATAGTACATTATCTTCTAGAACATGGTGCTACACCTGATCTACAAAACTATGCTAGTAAGAACTTTTTTCTTTAAGTTTTCTTTATGTTCATGTTTCATTATTTCTTGTAATTCTGAAGTCTCATTAAAAAAATGGGAAAATTTATGAATTGCATGTATATATACTGTTTGAAAACTATAGGTATCTTCAAGTAATAAAAACAGCACTGAAACACAATGCTCTCAGATTTATACAAGGGGGCATAACTTTAACGTATGTATGATGTTTCGGCTTTAATATTTATAATAAAGATTTGTTACATATAATTATGAAATTTGATACATATAATAATAAATGAATGCCGGCATTAGAAAACAATCCTTAATGTCATATTACAAAGAATGTCAAGAGAAGATTACGTTGTCATTCACGTTAAAAATAAAAAAGCATATGAAATCTGAAAAGGTTTCAATAAGCAAGTTTCAAAAAAAAAAATATAGAGGTATAGAATTGAATTTCTTTAAGCATTCAATATGTCAATTTAAAAAAAGTAGGTGACATTAAGGGTTGTTTTTTTTCATGCCGCAGTACAATTTTGTTACTACAATTTTAATCATGATATTATTCGTACAGGTGTGACTCCGATGATGACAGCCCAGGCAGCCAACCAAGATGAAATAATTACCTGGTTAAATAAAGCTTTGGATATTGGCACCAAATATGAAGATTCTTACATACCATCGAAAAAGGTTCCAGTATGTTTCCTTTTAATATATTCTTTTTACGTTTTTAGTTCGCTCTCTTCGCTCTATTGTGAAGCATGGGATTTGCAATCCGAGGATTGCTGGTTAAACTTCTGGTGAGGTGAAATTTGTCTGTGACAAATGTTCTCTTGACATTGAGTCTAATGGTGATTTGTCTGAAGCCACAGATTCAGAAATGATTTTGGATAATTATGTGTAATGTCACTTATGGTGAAGTTGGTAATTACTGGTTAGTTATCCAGGAAGTTGGTTTGGTGGACCATCTGCCAAGATATAACAAAAAATTGTTGGCGTAAAACCAACAAAAGATCTAATCTCTGAAAATTATATATAATTTTCTATCACTGCAATGAATCATTGTAATAATGAATGAATCAGCAGGCTTTGGTAACCATAAGTTTCTAAATTTTTATTTACATGAATTTTAATTATACATGTATTTATACTTATTATTATTATTATTATTTCTGTTTTGTTTTCTGTATTTACATATAAAATTTCTTTCTTCTTAGCTACCTATTGCAAGAATACCAGCAAAGGGTTTCCAACCCGGTACCAAGGATAGAGTGGGTCGACATTCAGTGAGTGGTGATATGCCTCTAATTTATGAGGAATATAATCCAGGGTCAAGGTCGCAGACTGTTTCTGACACTATAAAGAAAGAGCCGTTGTCACGGCAATCATCTGTATCTTCACCTATAGATCTCAGTATGAGACATAACACTGAATCCCCATCACAGCCTCCTAATCCTCCTAATGAAATGTCCATAAGGGGAAAACCTGGAAGGAGAAAAACCAAAAAGGAACATAAAAATCACAAAGAGAAACAACCACAGAAAAGTATGGTGAAAGAAAAGCATGCATCTGTAGTAGCAGCTCTTGAAGGAAGTATGTTTGCTGGGCAGACTTATCCAAGAAAGGGGAATGATAAAGTTTCAGATGATAAACCTTTTACTCAGAATATTAAAATTGAAGCCCAGGATAGTGAAGATATTGAAATGAAGTGCAAAACTGAAAATGGGGGCATGGCTGATGCTGAAAATGCGAAAAGTAACTTGTCATCAACGACTTTGAGTGATTTTATTCTTAATTTGAAACCAGATCAAACCAAATATTTGGTGGAAAAAGTAAGACAGCAGTTAAATGTTCATAAAGATCACATCTCAACATTGTCATCCAAAGAACCTAGTAAGTATGCAGCTGAAACTGATTGTGATAATAAGACAGACTATAGACAAAACAGTCCAGAGAATGTCCCTGAGAGAATGCACCAAGATTTGAAATCTGACGATAGTAAAAATGATACTCCAGTGACTGAGACAGTTCTTAAAGATAAAGGCAAATATCTTGGGAAAATTGTTTCTTTAAAAGACAACTGTGTAATAGATGACATTGAAATGGATGTAGAGTCAAGTAATGAAAAGGAAGCTGCTGAAAATGTTACAGGTCCCACAGAGTCTCAACTAGTAGGATCTCGATGTGAGAGTAGGTCAGACACTCCTGAGGCTTATGCTAGTGATGAAAGTGATATTGAAGATATTTCAATGGATTGCAGTCATGTTGCTGTTGAGGCTTATAATGTACAACAAACTGCAGGATCCTCTCCTGGGAAGATAGAAAGTCATTCTGACTCTAATATAATAGGTGGTCAAGTGTCTGTTTCAGTAAATGATAAAAATGACATAGATAAAGCAGACAAACCTGTTCATGGAGTAAATGTGCATGAAAATCTAAAGAACTATTTAAAAGAACGCATTGTGAATAGAAGTGAAAATAGTCAAAAAACTGCTCGTCTATATGATAGGCATGATAAGCCGTCTAAAACTGTAGAACTTGTTTCTCAAATATCACAAGAATCCGGGTCAAGCTCTTCACTACAGGGATCACAAGGGTCACATGGTTTTGAAGTGATCTCACCACCTGTGTTGAATGTTAATCAAGCTAATGACTTGAATGTTTTTAAGAAAGTGAGTAGCCAAGCTGAACACTCCGAAGATTCAATGGAAGTTGAGTTTCCTTCAGAACATCAGGTATCAGATCAGAAAGAATCAAGCCATAAAACGGCAGTTGATGATGATGAATCTGATGTAGAGAAAGTATATTCTAAAGATGATGCAATTCATACAAATGGTGATGGTGAATCAATGGAAGTAAATCTTGATGAAGAAAAGTTAAAAGCAAACATTGACACTGATGATGATGATGAAGAGACTGGTTTAGTGATAGATGAACATGTTGAAAATGAGTCTGAAAATAATGGGGATACATTTGAAGTAAATGACAATATTGCATCTGAAGATAAAAACATAAAAACTGATCAGGGAAAGGATGAAGATTCTGAAATGACCAATATGGATGTTAAAGATTCAGGTTACAGTGAAACATGTGAGGAAGCAATTGAAAACAATAGAACTGATTATGTACAACCTCATAATAAAGAATGTAATGGTGAAATTGATGAGGAAAATGAACAGGATCGTTCTGAGAAAGGTGTCAATGACGAAGTTCATGTTCATTCAGAAAAATCATCTGAAGTTAATGGGACAGATTTTTCTAATGGTGCATCTGTAAGAAATGTTGAAAGTCCTTCATTTATTCGGCCAGATGGCATAAAGCCATATGTTAAACAAAATGCTCAAGAGTTAAAGGAAAAAGATATAAAAAAGAAAGCAGTTGGTGAAGGGGGACTTAGCCAGAGTCTTTCTCAGGAAGAAATGTTGAAAAAAGGACAATCTCATACTTTGTTCTATCGTGATGGAGATGGCTACAAACCAATTAAAATATTTATTGACAATTCCAAGCAGTCATCTCTTGTGCTTCAGAAAATGTTCCAATCTGCCCAGTTGGCCAATGTGAACAGGAAATCGGGTCTTGCTGGTATTGGGGACATAAAAAAGACACCTGCAGAAAATAGTAATATCTCTGACTTGAGTAAGTTAGTGACTATGAAATCTTCTGGGACAAATGTTATCACAAGCCAAACTATACCAGTTACAAACAGCTCTTTAGCTGAAAATAATATAACAGGAAAAGTCAGTGAAAATTCATTGAACACAGCAGCTATAACATCTTCTTATATGAATATTGTCACATCTTCTAATATGAATGTTGAATCTATTTCTGTGACAAGTACAAACCATTCAGGACTTGCGTCAACCACATCTGTGACAGACTCAAATCAGTCTTTTCAACAAGCCTATATTGAGTCTTTAAAACAAAAAGCAAGTGCAGAACTCGCAGTTATTAACAATTCAGGTTCTGTTAAACAGACTAAAAAACGGACCACACTCAGTCCAAGTAAAAGTGATACTTCAAGTCATATAAAAGCAGTTTCACAAAGTGCTAAACTAAAAATTTCACATTCTGCAAAATCATTTGATTCCCAGCCATTTATTGAGATGTTACCACCTTGTAAAAAAGTACACGTAGTACCTGCTAAACCGTTAAATGTTAATATAGCTAGTAAACACACATCTGAGGGAACATTGACTCGTGTAAATCCCGATATTAGAAGGAACGTTAAAGCCTTACTATCTCAGAGAAAAGTCGGACTGGTGCGGTCCGAATCGGACAGTTATATTGTAAGCAATAAGGGTATTAATAGTAACGTTGTGACTACAGTTCCGGAGACTGTACAAACCTCTGTTACTGATTCAAGGCAGCAATTGTGACCGTTTGTAAATTTTTGATCATGTGTCTAAATGTTTGTTCAAAAGTTAAAGAAATATTTGTTTATCACATGGCATCATTTGTTTTCAAAGAAATATCACTTTTTGTATTCCTTTTAGTTTTCCAGCCAAAAATACAGTAATTTTCAATTGAAAAAAAACATAACATCTGAATTGATTTTCCTTTTTTAACATTCTGGAATGCTTAAGTGGATATTTTTCATGAATGTGTATTAATGTTATATGTATACATGTCTATTTTTAAAGCTGCATGCCTCCAGATGAGCCAAAATATTTTAAGAAAAATAATCATGAGAAAAATGTACTAAGATTTTAAGGAAAGTAAAAAAATATTCACAATTCAAGAAATAATTTAAAAGTTAAAAAAATACATGCAAAATATCCACTTGTCAGTAACAGATGTTTCCACTTGTCAATAACAGATGTTTAACCTTAAATCTTGTACCTACAGTCTTTAACTTTAATACACAAACCATTATAGAATTTTGCTGTATTATTAAAGAAGTTAATCTATCACAAAAATGCTAATAATATAAATCATGTCAGCAACTTTTAGAAGATATTATCCTGTGTGAAACTCTGCTCGTGTATGGTTTATTAGTTAAAAAAATACTGGAATTGAATGTTCAAGAGAAGTTTTGTGATATTCTAGACTTCAAATGTGAATAAATGAACCCTTGTCTTGGGTGGTTTTTGAAAAGCTCATTTTTACTACAGCCAGCATATGTGTTATCTGTTTGTCACATAAATAAATAAATTGGTTTTTTGTTACTCCTGGGATTTGAACTTTACTAAGAAAGAAAAAGTAATGTCATTTCTGCAGCTTATAAATGTGTTAAGTTATAAAACTCTCTTTAACCTTCATATTAACAATGATAATGTTTAATCTGCTAGAGTTCTATTACATTACTGTCAATAAATTTGAAAAATTTCTTATGATTTTTTCGAAGAATTTATAACTCTTAAGGTTTCCATAGCAACTTTTACGTATGAGATCATAATTTGACTTTTTTTGTCTACTTCAGAATGGAAAGTAACTTAGTATGTCATGAACTAGATTGTTAGAGAAGTTATACAAAGATAAAAAAGTTTTATAAACTTAAGGAAAAAAAGTTAATTTTTTTTTGGTTACAAAAAAATCAGCATTTTTTCTATTTTAGTTTACTGCTGTATGCTTTTAATTGCAAGAATATATTTATAAATAGTGTAAAAAAGATGAATATAAAATGTTATCAATGACCTAGGTAAATCTACCTAAAATTGGGAAAAATATCAGTGAGATTATGACCTGGGGTCAGTGACATTTAAAGAAGTTAAAAGTTGGTTGCAAACCTATTCTTTAAATTATATATACATGTACACATGTACTAATACATTGCATATTTAAAATCTTTGTAATATCCTGTAATTATTGGTTTTTGATAATTTTTTCCTCTTTTTTTTTTTTTTTTGGTTGGTGGGGGTTGGGGGGTCTGGTTATAAATACTTCACTAATGCCTTTATATGTAATTATATATTCAATTCTACAACTTAAATGCTTTCTGTTCTAATAATGACTAATACCAAGTCCATATGAAACATTACTAAAAGTTTTTTTCTGGCTATCTAAAAATGCATGTTCTATATTTAGACATATCTTGTTCTATATTTAGACATATGATCTTTTGCTATATCTAACAGGTTTTTTATACAGAAATATGAAATGTTAAAAATATGAAAAATGTAAAAGTAATAACTAACTTTCCTAACTATACATGTATTTGAGCTCTAGGGGTGATTATGTAAAGCCTTAGTTCATCAGTATAAACACAGGTCAAAATGGGTGGGTTCAAACCCTGTCAGGGGCAAGCCAATGTTTCCTTGAGCAAGAAACTGTACATTCATTGCTTAGTACTGGTCGGTTCCAGGAACTGATTCGAGAGTGTTTCAGTAAGCTATAGCTTCCAACACAATCAAACTAAAATAAATTTGTATAAACTAAACACAGGTCAGTCAGTCTGAGGACTACTTTTAAATGTTCATTGGTCAGTCTTAAATGTATTGATATTGAAATCCCTATGAACTACGAATGGAATGTTCCAATTCTAAACAGGTCAAGTCCATTATACAAAATTCAGTAGGGCAAGTGTTGGAGAGATTGTTTTGTATAGATTGTATGGTATATGTGTGGCATAGTTGTATTCCATTAAAATAGGGCATTTTCAAGATTAAGGTTGACAGAGTATATACATGTATGTCTAGAATTACAGTCAACCCGGCCCTAGTTAACCCGGCCCCAAGTCAACACGGCCTCAAAATTGGTCAACCCGGCCCCAAAATTGGTCAATGCGGCCCCACAGTATTTCTATTTGGTCAATGCGGCCCCAAAATTGGTCAACCCGGCCCCAAAATATATATTTTCAAAGAAAACTATTCAGGTCATTTTGTTGTATGATGAAATAAAAATGATTTATTATTAATTGAATATTATTAACTATAGAAAAATAGTAAAAAAAACATGAACTGGCATAAAAGTGTCGATAAATTTAATTGCGCCGATTTAAAGACATTAATACGCAATAGTGATAATGAATAATTATATAACATCAACAATTATATGTACATCAACATTATAACAGATGTGATAATCAAACAGTTTAAAAAAAATGGGGCCGGGTTGACCAGAAATAACATTGGTTTGGGGCCGGGTTGACCAATTTGGGGCCGGGCTGACTTGGGGCCGGGTTGACTTGTACCGGTATGTCTATCACTTCTGATAATATTGTTATTATCAAAATGCAATCCTCAGTATAAAAAAAAAATATTGTGAAAATGTGTGTGTGAATAGCCATATGCTCTATGCAAATTGGGCATGGGCCAACCAGTGTAAATATGAACATCTGGCCTTAGTTTTTAGCAAACGTTTACATTGTAATGCTTATACATGTATATGGCATACTTATATTGCAATTCAATGCAGTTTTGCCAAATCATATTCTGAACGGAACTGCAGTCAACTGTACAATACTTCAATTTTTTTCCTTGAGGGTTCTTGAAATTTACAAATGGACCATACCAGATTATAAGTGAAACAAGTCAATTTAATACAGTAAATGGGGAAAATGGTGTTAAATTAGATTTTTGTGCTATTTCGTTTAAGAATAGTAACAGTATTGGTTTTTATTGCCTCGGAATTTTACAGGATGCATATAGTTACAGTAGAACTGTCCAACATACCGTTTCTCTTAGCACATTATTATAGGAGCAGATTTCTTTGTTGAAGAAAGTGACATGTGAATTAAGTGAAGGTCAAGGTCGTGAAGGTTTTCCTCTTTTTCCTTATATTAAGGTCATGATTTTTTTTATCTTTGCCAGGGACCCATCTATAACTATGTCCCTGGTTTTGTCATAGCGTCATAGGTGAGCATCCATTGATGTTTATTGGAATTTTATGCTATTGATAGATAGTAATTATTGATGCTAATGCTGTTAAAAATATTTGTGGATTTAAATTTTAGTATGTTATTAATAATATTGCATTTCCTCCACTTATATGTATACCATTAACATTAAAGGATGTAAAGCTATATCTTTATGAAATTTATTTATAAGATTTATCAACAGTAAAATTATATTGGTTCCATAATCTTATGGTCAATTATCGAAAGAGTGGAGCAAAGAATGTCTCTATTAATTAACACGCAAAATTTTTCAATAATCACAATAAAATGTTCCGGAAAAAAATGTTATTCTGTCATTTGAAGTAGGGTTTTAACCTTTTAACAAGTTTATGCTACATTCATTCTTAAGGCAATTTACTATCATATTTTTTTCATACTTGGTTTTTTAAATTCAAATAATATTTTGGCAGCAGATATATAATATAGCTTTATGCACTTTAAGTTAAAGACATCTTAATACTTGTCAATTAAAATATCTAAATTTTTATTGTTAACTAATTTACTTTACAAAGCGTTACATGTAGAAATTAAAGAATACAAATGTATTAGTTCTATACATTCTATGCAGTGTCGGCATTGTGGTTGAAGTACTTGCATTTTGCTTTAAACAATTAAATAAATTATTGGTCACATTTATATATACGCTGGTTTCCAGCCATGTTTTTTTTATTAATCTCTTTTTCTGTCTAAGAAGTAGTTGACATATTGTCGGTGTATTACAGATTTAAGCTGCATGTCTCCAGATGAAGCAAAACATTTCAAGAAAATCATCTTAGAGAAAAAAGAATTCAGATTTCAATAAAAGTAAAGAATATTCACAATTCAAGTAATAATTTATATGCAAAAATTGCAGTATTTATCTCCATATTTCAACTGCGTGAGTAACGAATTAAGTGCTATGTTTACATACTAGTATTTTGACTTGGATCGAACCTGTTGATTTGTAATGTGTGTTAACTTGACAATATTTTAATATTTTCAAAATTTCATTAAAATTAGCATGAACCTGGAGGCATGCTGCTTTAAATTTAAGGGATATAGTGTATCATGCCCTTCCAAACGGTATCTATAGAAATGAAGGGTGGCCCATTGTGGTATTGTTGTTTTTGTTTTTAATGTCCGATCGGTGTGTTTGTCTGTCTGTCTTTATCTATGATAAAATGATCATAAGCTCTTTCTATAGTAAAAACTGGAGCCTTCGTACATTAAAAAAAATGACCTTTAACTGAAAAATATACGAAAAATTACAATAATTTTCTTAGTTATTAACAGAAATGGGACGGGGATATAAATTTGTGCTTGTATTTTTTGTTTTGTTTTTTTTCAAACACATTTTGTAAATGAATGTTAAATAAAAAAATCTCAAGAACTAAATTCTTGTTAGATTTATTGTTATGTAGAAATAATATGATTTATTTGCATGTATATATCTTTACATTACTGAATCTTAAAAGAAAAAAAAACTGTATTAAACAAAGATGAACAGTCTATTTTTAGTTATTTATTTCAATTTATCCAGTAATTTATGTACCGCCTCCGTGGTCGAGGGGTTAGAGTCGATGACTTCTAATTCAGGTACCTCTCTGGCGTGGGTTCGATCCCCGGGAGATGCTTTGGTAGTTTAGCGCGGAGGAAGGTAGACTAGTACTGGTGTAACTCTCCAGGAACGATGGTTAGGAAACTACCCGCCTATATGACTGAAATACTGTTGGAAAAAGGCGCAAAATTAAACAAACAAACAAACAAATGTTTCCACGCGCATGTCAAGTGCGTGTTTTTCCGCATTGGAATTATGCCATGTGAGGGAGCTATTCAGCTTGTTTGTTGAATCAGAATGTCGGTATTTCTACCCAGTTGTTCTTTCGTGTCAAAAATGAAATATGAAGAACATGTAGATCTCCCCTGTAAGTCCTTAACATCAAACCGGATTGTAGATGAACAACGTCGAAACAAGCAACAAAAATGTTAATTGACAAGAAAAGTTGCTGCACACAAGACAGATGGAAAGCCACTATGAACATCGAAAAAAAAGAGACTATCGAGAAATGTTGAAAACGGCAAATATTAGGTGCAATGTTTCTTTTAATAATGAAAAGTATGAAATTTTGTATTGGTTTGAATGTTTTTGTTGGTCACTAACAACAAATCAAAAAAACTGAATTTATAACACATTTGTAATAAATCTTGCACAAAGAAGGGAACTAACGCGGCTTTTCGTTTTGTATAAAAAGGAATTTATAGGTTGGTTTATCAATGGAGATACTACTATGTGGTAGATGTTTAACCCTCTAGAGCCCATATTCGTAGCATATGCGTAAACGGCACCGTCCAATTTTTTATTAGCTCGACTTTTCTTCTTCTTTTTTTTTGACAAAAGTAAAGGTATTGGTATAGTCCTGGCGGCGTTGCCGTTGCCGTCAGCAAACTTGTACCTTGATCATAAGTTTTTAAGTTCTTTGTGTATTGTCTACATACTTGGCTACAACAACCCTTGGGACAAGACCAGACTGACCTTGACCTCTATAAATGACCTTGACCTTCAAGGTCTAATGTCCATATATGTTTTCTTCTGAATTTTGATAATATATTCTTAACATTGTCATTAATTCATACTTCGACAAAACTAGTGTGACAAGGCAGACTTATTAAAATTATAATAAGGAAACGTTAATATTTGTTCAAACATTTCTTTGTTTGCTTTAAGAAAAAAAGTAGAGCCTTGCCCCCTCCCGGTGGTGGCTCTTGTTATTTTTTATTTTGCTATTATTATTATTATTGATTTATTTAATTTTTTTTGCTAAATGCTGCTTTTCACTTCATAAAATAAATGAAACGATAAGCCGATACTGATAGCATAAGTGTAGAAAATTTATAATTAAAGAAAGAGGAGGGGAAAAACGCATCGGAAGTTTCGCGTATGTCTTTATTAGAAACCATAAAGTGTAATGCAGTCTTTTAATATTTTTGTAATATCCTTCTCCCATAGAATAGATAGTTCAAGAGAAAATTATGGACAATAATGCTATACGTTAACCAGATAAATAATAGGCTTTTGTAAGAGAAGCCCGTAAATTTAGTATTGGTACTTAATTTTCTATATTAGAACCTATATCCGACAGTCATTAATTAAGCAGGCTTCCTAATCACGGGAATAAGGCAGATTCCCTTTACCATGTTAATGTCTTCACCTAGATAGGAAATGATATGATTAATTAACTGCCCGCAAATTTTTTTGTATATAGTCAAACCTTACCCCTTTATCCCACGGACTTGCCCTGCATGCTGAACATTTTTAACTGCCAACTATACACATGTACATAAATTTGCCATTTAGATGTAATATATTACTATTACGAGTCGAGATTCTGTTTAGTGTTATGTTTTTGCAATATTTCCATCTATATTTTCCTTTTCTATGGTGAACATTCCAACGAAATTTGGCCTCTAAATTTGAAATGACTAAAATCATATTAAAATACATAGTTTAAGTGAGATTCTGACCAAAAACAAAAGTATCTCAGAATTTGCTCAAAAACTTCACATTATTTTGCATAATTATTGTGGCCAATGGTTATCGTTATTGCCCTGTACATCTCTAAAAAATAAAGCAGTACTTAAGAGTCTGCTATACATGTATAACGTATAATTATAAATAATCAAATCAAAACCAAATAAAATGATCGGCACTTTTTCTCGGCATGCAAAAAGAAAGAAAGAAAGAAAGAAAGAAAGAAGCTTGAAATAAGTCCATTAATCTTAGCCCCAACATTCCACTGTTTTCTCAGTATACGGACGGACAAATCTAAATACATTTGTAACCGCCTTCCCATTGGTTAGTGAGAGCATTAAAATGAAGTAGTAAAACTATGAAATCTGTCTAGTCGGTTATTAATCATAATTCATACGTTTTTCTTTTCGCACATAATGATAATTATCTACTTTTTTTTTGTATGTTGTTTTTGTAAAGAGTTTATCTTAAAGTTTGTCTTGATCAGGATTTTCAACGTTTACAAGGAATTCAAGTTGATATGACATATATCACACCGCATGTCAGTTGAAATTTCACACTTAAATTTAATGACAAATAAAAAATATGCAGTTGTCAATTCTCTTAAAGACATTTACAAAAGCTAACTACAGGAAAAATTCCGTTATCAGGAGAGCGAAAGGTAATTGGCCGAGAAATGTAAAGTTGAAATTTAAATCGATCTCCCACGGGCATCCTCTTACCCCTCAATAATTTGTTTTTAAGCGACAATTTATCTAATTTTTCTGCACAAATTTTAATCAGTTAACCTGAGGAATAATACATTTTCATTGTTTTTCTTGTTGACACTGAGAATATATTGTTAATTCCTCCGAGATAAATATAATTTGATTAATAACAGGGACATAGGTAGAAAATACCTTTTTCCATAGATTGCACTAGAAGCAAGAAGGAGAAGCCCGTTTTCCTAGGCATGCTAGGGAGAGTCGCTTGTAAAAGTTTCCGTATTTTCTGGCGCCCGTCGCCCGTAAGGGTTTCCGCAGTAGCCCTTAAAGCAGCATGCCTCTAGATCCATGCTAATATTCATGAACATTTTAAAAATGTATTTAAAAGTAAAATATTGTAAGGAAAATTACAATCCATGTAAATTACACAAAAAAGCCCTTACTGCGTTAGTCATGAAGTATAAATAATGTGATAAATACTGCAAAACCTGTCATTAATCTCACATAACATGTAAGTTATTACTTAAAGCTTGTATCATATTACTTTTCTTAACATTTTTCTTACGTTTGATTTTCTTCATCGGGAGGTATTCAGCTTTAGGAGTTTCCGCGTGTCCCAGGCAAGTGCATCAATTTAAGTTGTACTCTTACTTAAATTAATTGCGTTTTCTAGAAAAACCGAGTGTTTTCAAATATATACTTTAACACTATTGTTTTCAATCAAGTAATCTATTGAATTACGCACACTGAAGTTGTGGTTAAATCTTGTATTATCTAATTTCAATTTTTACATGCGAGACTCATCCGAAATGAGGTTTAAATTGACAGTTAATATCATTTAATCTTTAGTTTGCTACAGTTTTCATATAAACATACAAACAGAAGCAAAACGTGTTTCATAATTTACGGGATCTCAGAATATGAAAAAATATTTGAAGTTTCTCGGTTTCAGCCATTGAATTAAAGTATTTTTGCATATTTTTTAGCCATTTTCAGATTTTAAGGGCAGATTAATTTAAACGTCTGAAAAAATCGTGTTTTTAGTCTTATACAATAAAAACTTCAATAAATTTTAATATAACATTTTTGTTCACTTTTTTCCAGTTTAAGTGAAAATGTTAAAAATCTATAAAAAAAATAACGACGAATTATTATTATCATTTTGTCTTTTTGTTTTTTTTTCGGAAATTGTTATATGTTTTGATAAGATTAAAACTAATCGCTCTATACAAATTCTTGAAAATTTGCACACTCACTTGAAAGTAAGTCAGTTACATATAAATAGAGGAAAAAACCCTTCCTTACCTTATTTGCCCTAAGCAAAAATTAAATTTCAAGGGCTGATAATTCTAAAACTAGAACGGCGTTGTTCCTTCTTTTTTCCACTCTTAAAATGTTGTCATATTCTAAAATCAAACACTGTTTAAATAATGCTATGAACCATTTTTCTATATGAATTTATGTCTATATCCAAACGGTAGGAAAAGATATTTAAAAACATATTTTGTGAAAGAAACTTATTTAAATGTTGTATCCGTTTGTCTTATAACAGAAACAATATCTATAACTGGAACAACAACACCAACAAAACAACAACAATACTATATATTCAATAGTAATCATCATTATAATACATCATCATCATCATCATCATCATCATCATCATCATCATCATCAACAACATCATCATCAACAACAACACCAACAACAAAAACAAAAACTGGTATGACAAAAATAATAATGATAAAAATAACAATGATAACGATAATAATATCAATGATAATGATAATAATGATGATGATGATAATTATAATGATAATTATGTATATTTGACGAATAACACAGCAACAGTTATGACACGAGGATACCGTGCAAATAATACATGGAACCTTTAAGTAAAACAATTTTTACCATGCAGTATCATAAATGAAGTAATGGGCAGTCATAAAGATGAAAGTGGTAAAAAGGAAAGAATAATTACGTTAAGGTCAGCGTATCATTGTACACGTACTCGAATATATCCTCGCCTACGAACCAAAGAATCCTTTGTACATTAAAGGAATTCACTTAGGTCCAAAAGCATCAAAATATAGCATTTAAAAATCTTACATAGATCTACTGGGACACATAAAACGAAAAAAATATGCAAAAAATAATAAATAAATATACTCGGTATGAAATTGAAAATTAATTTTTTGAGCGACTCTTTGCCCGATTTCAGTGAACATGTATTGTTTTAACGCTTTTCTTTTTGTATTTGTGTCTTTTTTGCACACTTAAAATGACTGTTTTGAAAAAAAACTGCATAAGCGAATGATCTGAACTTTGCACACACGTTATCCGTCCAGACCAGATTGAAATGGTAAACACGTCTCGGAAACAACTCCAATCCCGTCATGTAAAAAAAAAAAACACTACAGGCTCGGTTGGATTAAACATGTCCATGGACAGTATTGGTAGTTTAAGCTACTGTCCACCGCCCCCTAGCACCGGCTTCAGCAGAGATGATAATAGTGAAATTTGTAATTTAAAAACTGTGGTTATCATGGAGCCATCAATGAGACACATAAGTGCCATTCCATTAAAAAGCGGCGTAAGGTCCTCAAAGTAAAAGAATGCGAGTGTCATGAACGAGAAAACAATTGGCAAAACTGAATAAAATGGTCAAAAAGTCCTTTTAAGATATTAAGGGTGGTAAAGGTGAATGTAATTGTGTCAAATGTAGATAATAGAAATGCTGGTTCTTAAAAAAAAATTATAAAGACGTAGTATATTTGAACTTACTTTGAAATTAAACCTCTCTTTGAAAAATTAATCCAGTTACCTCTCTGTCGTGGGTTCGATCCCCGGGAGATGCTTTGGTAGTTTAGCGCGGAGGAAGGTAGTCTAGTACTGGTGTAACTCTCCAGGAACGATGGTTAGGAAACTACCCGCCTATATGACTGAAATACTGTTGGGAAAAGGCGTAAAATCAAACAAACAAACAAACAAAACTTTGAAAATTATTGGGATTCCTGTATCAACCATGCAAATATTTAGAAACAAACACGCAGTTTCGTCTAGCTCTATGTATATAAAATGGCAATGGTTCTGAATAGGACCAAACATTTGATATACAATGCATTTGTTTATGGTTTTTTATTGCACTCTATGTTTCTATGCGACTTAGCACACCTGTTTTGTTTATCTCTTTGCTACCCCTTTAAGCCCTTTCGGATTTGTATATACTTTCTCTTATTAAGTTGTTTATAGCAACAATTGTTGCCATGCTCTTCTCCTCCTTCGCCCTAATGGATTCTCCCATTTTTGGTTGGGTACATTTTGGTTGCACAGTCGGTGTGGCTTGAGTGTATCGGGGATGGGGTGGGGGCTGCGTTCTGTGAACGACGCCTTGCCTTGTTGCGCTTTATGCTCATGTTGTTGTTTTTTGTGGATGTTGTTGCTATTTTTATGTTACATATAATATCATATCATATAATGCTAACATATTTTAGACAAAAAATATATATATTGATTACTTTATATTTAACTTGAAATCTTTTAAGGTTTGGGGTAAAATGATATTTTTGTTTTTTGAAAAGGAGGGTATATTCATTCCTTAAAGTAATAACGTACTTATTATAGTCATCATTTTGGCTCATTTCCGAATTTCCTGAGACTGTGAACATCAGTTCCGAATTAGGAAGACTGTAAACGGCCATATAATATTTCTTTTATATCAGTCATTGTCAGTTTAGTTTTATTTGATAGCTGGATTAATTAGAAAATTAATTGAAAGCTGTATATTTAGACGTAAGGAGGATTTTCTCCATCATTTATGTCATCTGCTATCGTAAACCGCTGCGTGACACGAGAGCGCCAAAAAAGGCGGGGTATAACCGCGCAATAATACATCGCCAATAAATAGTCCCTGGAGACAAGGCTTCTTGCAGAAACTGAAACGCAGAGAAGATCAGCGTGTTTGGAATTTTGAGTGGAACTGACAAGAAAGGTAAGTGAAAAAGTTTCTTTCCTGATAAAGATTTTCCAAAGAACAAAGTTACTAAGTTACTTTAGTGATTTATTTTAGATTTTGTTTTTTTATTCAAATGTATAAAGTATTGGAAACTAAATGCTTGTTGAAACAAAAGGAATGAAATAAAGAGAAAAGTTACTGATTGGTTATTGAACACGTAAATTGTCACAACAACTTTCATAAAGTGGCCTTAGAAATATTTATATTTTATCGTTCTGTTGAATCACGGCCATTTTAAACAAGACACTAAATACATAAATCACTTTTTTATATTTTATTCTTTATTTTTCATCATAATATCTTATAAATGAATGAGTATAAAAAGAGATATAATATTTTGAAAACATTTGAGCAAATCGTACAGCTTGGATCGGATAAATGTTTTATTTTCTTAATAAGTTGTACGTACTTATAGAAATACATTCTGGAATACGATTATACAAATATATATTCAAAACATAAAATACACTTGTATGTCTTTAAAAAGAAGAGATAATGATAACAGAACAATTTTACTTTTCTTATATCGCTCCCAAGCATCTTACTTTGCACTAACTTAAATATATTTTCATCATTGTTTTAGTTTAGTTTAAACTTAATTATAATTAATGGTACATACATACTATGTATATACTAATTATAACAGTAAATCATGATTTAAGAGTTTACTTTTATTAATGCAATACATGTTTTCTCTCATATTTTTTTTCAAGAAAAAAGGGACAGTTTTTAGAAACTTACAATTAACCATTATCTATCTATATCATTTATATATTTTTTTTCGCTTTGTCTTCAATTAGACTATTCAACTATTTCACATATTGTAAGTTTTCGCTAAATAGCAAGCTATACGCATATCATCAATAATTACGGATTCCATACCGCTCCAGATAACACCCAAGTTGTAGATGAAAATAGAGATTGGATATCAAATTTATGAGACCTAATCTACTTATAGACGGCTTATTTCCGCACATCGAGTTATTTCCAACCTTACCATATAAGTCCCTATTTCAATTTACTGCACAAACCATTATCTAAAGTCCGATTCGGACATATATATTCCGAAAATCAAGTTATCGAAAGTCTTCCATGATAGTTCTTTTGTATCGTCTTTAGTCTATTATTTATCCTGTAAATATTTGCTGTCCAATTTTATTGTTTATTCTTCTGAAAACTATCAAATGAAAATTCTACAAGAGAGTAACCAGTAGTAACGTTAACAACGCGAAATTCCTATCTTATTTTAAGGAATTTGTTCTACGGAGTAAACAGATTTCGATACGCGTTGAAAAAGTGTTTTAACCACCACCACTCTAAATAAGTCGAAACCAGTCATCAGTTTTCTGGAAAATTTAAAACATGTACTGACTGATTAGCAAATAGTGCATACTATGACCAGGCGGCACATAAAATGTATATGACGGCTACTCTTGGTATTGCACTGGTGGTTTGAGTAAAATATTGCAAAGGGTTAAGATCAAGATCTCTGAAATAAACTCCGTTATAATTGTGGAAGGTGTTCATCAGGAATACAGAAAGATTATTTCAATGAATGTTCCTTTAAAATAGTCGGACCTTTGATATGTCCATTTTTTCTTGTAATGTTCATTTTATCCTATTAAGTTCTAATAGCGCAAATATACTTTCACATTCAGCTTATAGACATAAAATACTACTAACTTTAATGGTCAAATTATAAAGCTTGATTTATTCATGAGTAACATTAAAACCTAGTCTATATCACAGTTCGACATAACTGTGATCCACATTAGAATAAATTATGAAATAGCCGTTGCGAAAATGAAATGACGTTTTATTTCGGCGTCACACTTGCCGGTAGCTTTGCTGTTTCGCACAAAACAAGATCATGCTGATATATTACAGACAGCTTACTTTTTAATCAAAGAGGAAACATATTATGGAATTTAAAAAATGCATCTATAGAGCTAAATCTATTGCTAGTACCACTTCTTACTCACCTTTTAAATACATACATCACGGTGTTGGTTTGAAATTACTATCTCCTAAAAGAGATTTGTTTTCTTTTCTTAGAAGGCTGTTTTTTTCCATTGATTAATCTAGATTTATATCTAGGAAAGAAACAATAGCCTTGATATGAAAGTCAATTTCATGCCGATTTGATCATAAAACTGTGACTTACAACCTTACTCGATTTTCCATTCACGTCTGCAAAATCGTAAAATCTTTCTCTCATTGTAATTTCAGGTAACAAAGATGAATCCGTCAACATATTTCGCAGGCTTGGGATTATTATTATGTTTCTTAGCAACAGTGACATTAACATATACCTCAGAACTAGGTGATGAGGCAGACGACTTTCCACCTAACATCCGGTACTTTTTGAACAATATGAAAAATGAGTTGTCACCGGAAGCTCCTCCCCACGTCTACATGAACAAATTAAAGCGATATCTTCATGAATCTAAATCAGCAGCTAAACGAAACGGATTTTGGATCTGGATGCCGGCTCAAGGATACGTACCAGTTAAAGAAGACGACAGGCCCGCAGAAACCAAAAGCACCGGAAGTTCAAGCGTTCTCCGATACGGCTAATTACATTAAGTAACTTTCCGAATTAATATGCAAATTTTTGATACAGATGTGCCAATTAGATTTCTCTAAACTATGTGACTTTATTAACAGTTATTTACAGAACATCATTTTATTTTTTAATTTTCTCAAAAGAATGAACTATACTAAACAATCCACTCACTGCTGGTGAATCAGACTGAAGTCACGAGACGCACGTGCTTAACATTGTTAAGATTTCATGAAATAAAATATACTTTATTCTATACACATGCAGTTCTTTTCGTATTGTCATCCATTAGTTAAAACTCCTTTTTCAATGTCTCACTGAGGGAGGTGGCCGCAGCTGCTATTTTCAATGTCTCGGTAAGGGACACGAAACCTTACTTTTTAGGCCTTTTATCACAGAAAGATGTCGATATTATTCCATGATGATTGAAAACTGTAGTATTTTCAAAATTCCCTGTAAAGTAATTTTTATTTTTCCACAAATGTTAAAGATGAAAATGGTAATGTCGTGGTCTATCTATCTATCTACTTACCGTTCCAAGAATACCTCACAGTGGTCTGCAACTTTGAACGTCTGTCGCGTAATATTTTCATGTTCTTATTATAACAAGGCATTTCAGAAATGGTACATAAATATTATGTTGAAAATAAAGCAACACGACAATTCAATTCCTGTAAATATAGAAATGCTCGTATGAAAAAAGAAAAAATCTTCCCGATTTCGAGGCGATATCATGATTTTATAAGGCGATTATATTGATGAAATTATTTTTCTCATGAACTTTCCATAAAACATGTTATCTACCTACTACCTGTCCAGTAAATTTGTCTTATCATCCATGATAATGTCAGATGAAAAGCAAAAAGTTACTTCAATTAACATTTTGACCAGAAAGTATTAGTTTGAAGATAAGTATCAGTCACGGAGAAATACCGAAGGAAAAAATTGCTGAGTTTAAATAAATGTGTCATTTTCAGTTGTGTTTTAAATTTTTAAACAACTGGTTGAAAACGGAAATTTGGTTTAAAAAAATTCTTACATGCATTTATTATTTGTCTTTAAGCATAAACATGTAAAGTTCTGCCGTAAAAATCACATACAATTCCTTTAATATATGTGAACATGAGAAGTTTTGGAGTTATGAGCGGGGTAAGGATACTACAATCATGGAGTAGGCATGTAGGAATACATGTTCTTCTCTGCCAAGGATATAATTCTAAATATTTGAAAATTTTCGGCCGTAGACTGTTTGTTTTCACCATAACTTCCGGTAAATTTATGGACTAATCGCCATCCTGCTCCCGGTATTCGCCGAACAGATAATTCGTGCGTGTGCTAATTAACAATGCACTATACATGTGTATTTTTGCATTTCTATCTAGAACCTTTACTAAGATACTACCGAGTAACGGTCAAACTAGGTTCAGCAGACCGAGTATCTTTTTTTATAGATACATCTTGTTTCCCATAAATTGCGTAAGCCAACTTTTCATTGGTTGATGATCTAGGCTTTACTCTTAACTGCTTTCAACTGGACAGATTAGCCTCGTGTTTAATTTAACGCATATCTGTCTGCATGTAATGCGCTAGTCTGTCGTTAGATTTAACGCATCAAGAAGACATTCTACAGAACAATACATTACAGAGGCAGTAAAAGAGTTGTTTCACTCTGTTTAAAATTATAACAGATGTAAAACGTCAAAATCTCTTCTACTAAAACATTAAACTTAAGGCACGATAATTATAAAGAAAACATTTCCCTCGTAAATCTAAATAGCTTTAAGAAAACCCCGCTGTAAGGTCGAATATAAATCTTGGAGAAAATCACATTACATGCATTTAATGAACCGTCCAATAACAACTTTTTGTACGCTTTTACAAATTTTGAAATATAACAGTTACTGAAAGAGAAATAATCGATCTTAAATACTCTAGATATACCACAGTTCAGACAAAAAGCTATTATTATGTCATTTAAAGCTAAACAATTTGTTAATAATGACAAAATCTCGCTGAATTTGTTTCATGTCTAAATATTCGCATCAAGACAAAATTCAAAGATGTTTTAATATACATTTACATATAGACCTTAATTTTGCAAAATTTACTTTTAACATCCATGTTAGGAAAAATTTAATTCGTTGTTCAGCCGTTAGTTACAAATTCAAATTTTATAACAAAAATCAACTTTTATGACGACAAACGCCTGCATTTCGACGCGCTCTTTTTAACTGGATCAATTTTGATCGGATTTAGGGAAAAATAATCACAGTAAAGAGCCGCCTTTAAACATGAACTACAGTTTATTCTTAATAGTTCAGAGCGCAAGGTACCATTATTGGTTCTTGTGTGAAGTGATCCATGGACCTTTTCTGTAAAAAATCTTTCTGTACATTATGTACATTTATTAGAAACATTGAAAAAATGCAGTGACCTAACAGAAAATGAAAGCTCAAAAAGCTCCTTTACCACGTGATTATAGAAATCATTTACGCAATGAAATTATTTCCACGTGACTAAACTAAGACATTAAACGCCTTCGCACTTGGCAAACCTGTCACTGCGTTTGGATATTAATCGTTTCTACATTTCTCAGAACGATAAAATGCAATTTATTTTTTATCAGATTAAAACGAAAAATCACTTCAACTTGAAACAATGTCACCGTGCTCACTGTGTGACATAATTTTCACAAGTACATAATCGCAGCTTTTCAGAAAATTTACAAATCGCCATTTTAATGAATAATAGCTTCTATATACAAAAAAGTTTCTTGCAAGAATGTTTCTTAATTAACGCTACGCTTGATCGATTGTTGCGTGAGTAAAATAACGCCATGATTGTTCTGTTGTTGTGTGAATACAATGAATTTCTAATAAGACCATGTGTGTTCCGTTGTTGCGTCAGTACAATGACTTCTAAATAAGACCATGTGTGTTTCGTTGTTGCGTCAGTACAATGACTTCTTAATAATGTCATATGTGATTCGTTTTGCGTCAGTACAATGACTTCTTAATAATACCACGTGTTTTTCGTTGTTGCGTCAGTACAATAACTTCTCAATAAGACCATGTGTGTTTCGTTGTTGCGTCAGTACAATGACTTCTTAATAATATCATATGTGCTTCGTTTTGCGTCAGTACAATGACTTCTTAATAATATCATATGTGCTTCGTTTTGCGTCAGTACAATGACTTCTTAATAATATCATATGTGCTTCGTTTTGCGTCAGTACAATGACTTCTTAATAATATCATATGTGCTTCGTTTTGCGTCAGTACAATAACTTCTTAATAATATCATATGTGCTTCGTTTTGCGTCAGTACAATGACTTCTTGATAATATCATATGTGCTTCGTTTTGCGTCAGTACAATGACTTCTTAATAATATCATATGTGCTTCGTTTTGCGTCAGTACAATAACTTCTTAATAATATCATGTGCTTCGTTTTGCGTCAGTACAATGACTTCTTAATAATGTCATATGTGTTTTGTTAATACGTCAGTACAATGACTTCTCAATAAAACCATGTGTTTTTCGTTGTTACGTCAGTACAAAGACTTCTCGTTAAGACCATGTGTTTCGTTAATACGTCAGTACACTAACTTCTTAATAAGACTATGGATATTTCGTTGTTACCTCATAACAATGACTTCTCAATAAGACCATAATTGTGTGTTTCTTTTATCTATTACACCTTAATTGTTCTCTTGTTGCGTCAGTACAATTACTTCTTAATAATATCATATGTGTTTCGTTGTTGCGTCATTACAATGACTTCTCAATAAAACCATGTGTTTTTCGTTGTTACGTCAGTACAAAGACTTCACAGTAAGACCATGTGTGTTTCGTTGTTTCGTCAATACAATGACTTCTCAATAAGACCATGATTATGTGTTTCTTTTATCTATTACACCGTAATTGTTCTGTTGTTGCGTAAGTACAATAACTTCTCTGTCAGATCATGCATGTTACGTAATCATTATTATTTCTTTATATGACAATGCTATAGTTGCGTGAGTGAAATTTTCTTCTTTATGTCGCTGTGATTATTGCGTAATCAAAATTGTTTCTGAATCTCGTTACTTTACTACATTTCCATGATTGTTGCGTAGGTGAAATTTTCATCATAATTGCCTAGCCCAACTAATTGTGCTACAAAGTGAGATATTGAGCTGTTTTATGAGTGGGAAATATTTCCCCTTTAGAAGCAAGACTTTGACCCATAACAAAAATATCTCAGAATCTAGCTTCAAACGTCAGAATATTTTGACTACATAATTGCAAAGTGACAGTAGGGTCTTGGAATGTTACTATTTGTTGAAACAAATATCTCACAGGAAAGTAACGGCTCTTAAGCCTACGTACATTATTTGGCATCTTGTATATCAGCAATATTTCTTTTTATTACCGTAGACAAGTAGTTTCTGTTAAGCCATCCTCACCGTATGACTGCGATGGCATATTTAGAACACAATACTTACTGTTTGACTATAATAACTCGCTTGTAACGTCTCATTATTCTCTACCTTTGTGTGTACGAAAAGAAAAATCAATGGCTTTCCTCTGGTGGTTGTGTTTCAGGAATTGACGTCTCTATATCACGACAGCAATTGCTGCCATATACAACCATGGTTGTTGTGTGACAACAACTGCTACTCTATATCACCATGGTTGTTGAGTGACAGCATTGTTGCTCTATATCACCATGGTTGTTGCGTGACAGCAATTGTTACTCTATATCACCATGACTGTTGCGTGACAGCAATTGTTGCTCTATATCACCATGGTTGTTGCGTGACAGCATTGTTGCTCTATATCACCATGGTTGTTGCGTGTCAGCAATTGATGCTCTATATCACCATGGTTGTTGCGTGACAACATTGTTGCTCAATATCACCATGGTTATTGAGTGGAAGCAATTGTTGCTCTATATCACCATGATTGTTGCGTGACAGCAATTGTTGCTCTATATTACCATGGTTGTTGCATGACAGCAACTGTTGCTCTATATCACCATGGTTGTTGCGTGACAGCAATTGTTGCTCTATTTCACCATGGTTGTTGCGTGACAGCAATTGTTGCTCTATATCATCATGGTTGTTGCGTGACAGCAATTGTTGCTCTATATCACCATGGTTGTTGAGTGACAGCAGTTGTTGCTCTATATCGCTATGGTTGTTGCGTGACAGCAATTGTTGCTCTATATCACCATGGTTGTTGCGTCACAGCAATTGTTGCTCTATTTCACCATGG